GCGTGTGAGGGGTGTGCCGAAATGGGTATGGGGGCGGCGGTGTGCCGAAATGGGGGTGGGGAGGCATGCGGACCCTGCCACTGGGGCCTTCGGTGGAGCTCCCTATGGGGCCACGAAACGTGTGAGGGGTGTGCCGAAATGGGTGGTGGGGAGGCATATGGAGGGGCCACGAAACGTGTGAGGGTGTGCCGAAATGGGTGGTGGGGAGGCATGCGGACCCTGCCACTGGGGCCTTCGGTGGAGCTCCCTATGGGGCCACGAAACGTGTGAGGGGTGTGCCCAAACTGGGGCCTTCGGTGGAGCTCCCTATGTGTCATGCCCTGCCACTGGGGCCTTCGGTGGAGCTCCCTATGGGGCCACGAAACGTGTGAGGGGTGTGCCGAAATGGGTGGTGGGGAGGCATGCGGACCCTGCCACTGGGGCCTTCGGTGGAGCTCCCTATGGGGCCACGAAACGTGTGAGGGGTGTGCCGAAATGGGTGGTGGGGAGGCATGCGGACCCTGCCACTGGGGCCTTCGGTGGAGCTCCCTATGGGGCCACGAAACGTGTGAGGGGTGTGCCGAAATGGGTGGTGGGGAGGCATGCGAACCCAGCCACTGGGGCCTTCGGTGGAGCTCCCTATGGGGCCACGAAACGTGTGAGGGGTGTGCCGAAATGGGTGGTGGGGAGGCATGCGGACCCTGCCACTGGGGCCTTCGGTGGAGCTCCCTATGGGGCCACGAAACGTGTGAGGGGTGTGCCGAAATGAGTGGTGGGGAGGCATGCGGACCCTGCCACTGGGGCCTTCGGTGGAGCTCCCTATGGGGCCACGAAACGTGTGAGGGGTGTGCCGAAATCGGTGGTGATGATGATGGTGATGGTGATGGTGATGGTGATGATGATGATGATGATGATGATGATGATGATGATGATGATGATGATGATGACGATGATGATGATGATGATGATGATGATGGGAGGAGGGAGGGGGGGGAGGAGGAGGAGGAGGAGGGGAATGCGGGGCGCCGTCTCTTCAAAACGAGAACCCAACACCACAGGATGGTTGGGAACAACGACGACGACGACGACGACGACGACGACGACGACGACGACGACGACAACAACAATCACACCACCACCACCACCACCACCACCGACAACAACAACAACAACCACAACATGAACAACCACAACATGAACAACCACAACGACAACCACAACCACAACCACAACCACAACCACCACAACACCACCACCACCACCAACAACAACGGCTCTCGCCTGACACTTCCTCACAATTTGTTGTAGAGTCGCGCTCTTGCGCGGGACTTTGCCAGAACGTATGCAAGAATCGTGCTCTTGCGTGGTACCGCCTCACAATGTATTTCGCAGCGCTGTGCCCCCCAGGCTCAGGAAGCACGATCTCGCTCTGGATTTCCTCACGATTTGGTTCGACATCGCGCCATCGCACGAAACTTCCTTCATGATGGATTGACGCTTCCACGACCCGCCCGCTCGACCTGGCCGTCTGACCTGCCCGTTGGGGTCCGCCCGCCCGATCTGTCCGTCTGGTTCTGCCGCTTGTACTCCTTCTCGTAACCCTCCTCCTGCAAATCTCTCTCGCGCTCCATCCTTCTCCCTCCGCCGAGTCTCTTTCCTCCTCCCTTCCTTCCCCCGTGTTGGGGCTGCGTCAACTACACGCGCCAGGTAGGGAAGATGTACCAACAAGGGGAAAATGATCGAAAACGGAGAGGGCGGGTATCGAGGGTGTGGGGTGTACGTGTTGAATGGCACGCGGGCAAATAAGAATGAATAATCTTAAACATATTGTTGTTGTCGTCGTCCCACACATGGCCCGGCCCGCGACCCACCCACGACCCGCCCGCGACTCACCCGCGACCCATCTGCGATCCACCCGCGACCCGCCCGCGACCCACCCACGACCCACCCACGACCCACCTGCGACCCACCCACGAACCACGCGCGACCCACCCGCGAACCACCCGCGAACCACCCGCGACCCACCCCGCGACCCATCCGCGACCCGATCGCGACCCAGCCGCGACCCGCCCGCGCCCGCCCAAGCACTCTTATCCGCAACTGCGGGCGCTTATCCTTTGATCGAACATTCTCTGCGTGGCTCGGGTGTGGCTGCCTCCGCGCCATCGGTTCTGACCTGTGATTTCTGCGCGTTTGGGGAACATCCAACTCGCACGCCCTGCACTGCGCAGGCGGTCTTTGCGTGGCGCGCTTGGCCTGCCGCTGCTACTTATGACCCTCGCATCGCCACCACGAGAACTGCTCATGGGCCCCAACCCGTGCTGTGTGTTCACTGGTAGACTGACCGCTCCGCAAAGTTCGGGACTCCTGCGCACCATCTTCTCGGAGAGGTGTGCAGTAATACGCCGGGAGCCCGCTGCTTGGAGGATGGAAACCGCTTTCGGTGGCGAGCCCAGGGGGCAAGCCTTCTCAGAAAACGCCAGGGCTTCTCAGAAGCCCTGCTTGAAAAGGCGCGAGGCCGTCTGAGAAGCCCCGCCGCCTTCTGAGAGGGCCTGCCGTCTCTCACTGTCCCCCCCTGGGCTCGCCGCCGACGGATGTTGGCCGAGCTCCCACACCAGCTCTGGTCGGGTGCCCGTCGCTGCCCAGGGCCCGACTTGAGGACAGCGCGGCGACGGCCTGCAACTGAAACTCCCCCCCTCCTCCTCTCACCCTCTCTTCCTTGTGCCCAAGTCCTTCACAACGTGTTCGGAGCCTCTGGAGCTCAGGCGAGGCCATGCCCATTCGAACGCACCTGGCGCCCTCCTCCTCGTCCTTCCTGCCTCCTCCTTCTCCTCTGCGCTCCGCGCCTCAAGGCGATCCACCCCGTGAACAGAAGATGCCCGCGCACTCGAGGAACGACACAATACCAACACATCAACAGCAATACGCCTCCTGGGGAGCGCGACGGGCACGACCGCCTCCATCTGACGGCAGGGCGGGTCCCTACCCTGCTCCAGGATGCGGAAGGGGGCTCAACCTTCCTCGCAAGGCGCGGCAGGTCTGCTTCTGCCGCAGTCGCCCCCCCTGACCCCTCGACCTTCGGAGAGGGATGACGAGAGAGGCGTGAAGCATGGCGAGATGACATAACCTTCCGCCTCCTCCTCCTCCTCCTCCTCCTCCTCCTCTACCTCGCCATCGCTCGGACGTCTATTCCCCGTGCATCTTTCGGCTCCGTGCGTGTATTGTTTCGCAAGATGGCCCAACGTGCTCCTTCATGGTGCTTGCAAGGAAGAGCTGCACACGTCCGAGCGATGCCAAGCTACGTTCAGATCCTCCTCCTCCTCCTCCTTCTCCTCCTCCCCCCTCCTCCTCTTCCTCCTCTCTCTCCTCCCCCTTCTCCTCCTCCCCCTCCTCCTCCAACTCCTCTCCTCATCGTCCTCCCCCTCCTCCTCCTCTCCCTCCTCCCCCTCCCCCTCCTCCTCCTCCTCCTCCTCCTCCACCTCCTCCTTTCCCCGTCTTCCCTGCGAGCGCGGGCGCCGGCGCAGCGCGGCACTGCGGCTGCTGCAGCGGCGGGCGCCAGGTGATCGGGCGCGGCTCGCCCACTGCGGGGTAGAGCACCGAACAGCTCCTCCTGTATTGCGTTGTGGATGCCACGACAGTGGGCACCCTAAGAGTCCTATCACTGAATTTAAGATGTGCTTACAATGTCGGAAACATGTTCTGAACATGTTTTAAACATGTGTTTTTACATGTTTAAAACCTGTCTCAGACCAGTGGAAATTATTTGGCAGCATGCTTCCTCTCCATTTACCGACTTCCACGAGTCTTGCGCTGCTCGGGTATTGATCTGTACGATCGCTGCGTCCTTCCCCTCTGCCAGACGAGAAACGGAGAGGCACGATCGGCAGAGGATCTCGATGAGCGGCTTGGCTAGGTGCGTGGCCCAAATGGGGGAAAGGGCGGCGAAGAGGAGAGGAGAAGTGGAGAAGCCCTCTCGGACGTAAAGGTGGAGGGAACAGGGCAAGAGCCCTCATGGAAGTTAAGATGTACGCAGACCATCTGAGGGCAGCAGTCTGCCCAACGTCTCGCACAGGTACTGACCCGCGCGGGTACTGGGGCCGACCCGCGCAGGTACTCGCGACGCACCTGTATACCGGTGCCCTCTCTTGCTGTCACCCTTTGACTGGGCGCCGTCGTGCAGGCTGCTGATGAGCTCGAGCAGCGCGGCGTTGTCACGGCGCATCTCCCCCTGCGGCCAAGAAACAGTCCTCTGCAGGGGCGCCGCTCTGGTGTGCACGTCTGGCGCGTCTCGTGTGCGCGCGAGAACCCGCTCGGCTTTGCCAGTGCAGGATCGCAGCAGAGAGCACATTTCACGGCCCGACCGTGGCCAGTGTTAGCGGCTGCGCCCGCAGCGCCACAGTGGGAACTGGGCTGAGAGTCGCGGCGCTTCCTGCCCCGGCCAAAGTGTGCGCCCTCCAATCTCGCCTCGGGGGGATTCGGCCCTGCAGACCCCTGGACAAAACAACAAATCACAAACATTGCAGGTCGTGCCGAAGAATCGTCTAGAGGACTTCTCTGGGGACAATTTTTCACACCGGGCCCATGTCTGACGGCCCCGCGCCCCGAGCGCGGCACCCAGAGGCCAGGCACGGCGAAACACCGAAGGCGACGACGGCAACACACACCGACAAGTAAAGTTGCATTACTTCTCCAGGGCAAGGTTGGATCTGGGGCTCGGCTTCGTGGCACGTGCTGGCTGCCCAAGCAAAGGTTGTGGCCCTGGCCTCAAGGGCCAGGCGTCTCCGGCTTCCTGGGCCTGCGCGGAGGGCAGGCCGCCCTGCGGGCGCAGCGGCAGACGCCGCATCATTCCTCGAACCTCGGATCTCCGTCCTCCGTCCTCCTACTCCCTCCTCCACCCGCTTGCTCCTCCTCGTCCTCCGTCCTCCGTCCACCTCCGTCTTCCTCCGTCGCCCTCTGTGCCCCTTATTCTCCTCCCCCTTCTCCTCCTCTTCCTCCTCCTCCTCCTGCTCCCCCCTGCGCGCCGCCGCCAGGGCAGAGCTCGGGGCCGCCGAGGCCAGTCTCGCAGAACACCACGCCGCAGGACGACACCTGGCGCTCCACGCGAAGCGGGGGAGGGAGGGGGAGGAGGAGGAGGAGGAGGAGGAGGAGGAGGAGGAGGAGGAGGAGGAGGAGGAGGAGGAGCGCCATGCAAAACGGCCGAGGAGATTCTGGGCAGGGGGGAGGGATATTCTGGGAGAAGAGGAGAAGGGAGGGGAGGGGAGGGGAGGGGAGGGGGATGGGGAGAACGGAGCGCTGTGCAACAATCAAGGCGGAAGGCGTTTGACTCTCGTCGGCCTCCGGGGGCCCTCCCCAGGCCCCCGGGGCCGTCAGCAAAAGAGACTCAGGATGGAACGCCAGTCCAGGGAATAGGTCGAGACTTTTTTGGAGGCCCACGTTGTGAAACACTCGCGACGTCGGGGGTCTGGGGAAGGGGCCCCTCCTCCTCGCCTCCTCCTCCTCCTCCTCATCTTCCACGGCCTCCGTCTCCGCCCACTTCGTCGCCGACGTCGTGGTCCTCTCGAGGGTCGGCGGCACGGGCCGTCTTCGCAATAGGTCGAGACTTTTGGAGGCCCACGTTGTAAAGTATTCGCGACGTCGGGAGTCTGGGGAAGGGAGGGGAACGGGGAAGCGGGAGGGGAAGCGATAGAGGGACATGGTAGCTGCGCTCGCGCCATATCTAACACCCCATCCCTTCCACCATTTGCAAGAAAGCTCAGGAACCGAACCGAACCTACCGAACAAAACAGGGCCGAACCGAACCAATACGAACCGCACGTTTTGCCAACAAGAACCGAACCGAATCGGAACCGAACGAGACCGAATTTCGAACCGAATCGAACCGAACCAGATTCGACTTCGAACCGAACCGGGCCGAACCTGACGGAATCGCACCGAACTGGACGTCTCCGGGGGGGGGAGGAGGAGGAGGAGGAGGAGGAGGAGGAGGAGGAGGAGGAGGAGGAGGAGGAGGAGGAGGAGGAGGAGGAGGAGGAGGGCATTGAGGAGGATGAGGGTAGGGACGAGGTGGAGGAAGAGGAAGAGGAGGCCAGGAGGAGCAGGAGGAGGAGGAGGAGGAGGAGGAGGAGGAGGAAGAGGAGGGAAGGAGGAGGAGGAGAATGAGGATGGGGAGGATGAGGAGGAGGAGGAGGATGAGGAGGAGGAGGAGGAGGAGGAAGAGGAGGAGGAGGAGGAGAAGGAGGAGGAGGGCAGGGAGACAGAGCAGGAGGACCTTCTCCCGGCCCTCCCCCCAGCACCCCCCCTGGCACCCCAGGCACCCCTCCCCCGCCACCCCCCGCGGCACCTCCTGGCACCCCGCCCCCGCATCCACCCCCGGCACCCTTTCCTGCCATGGCACCACCCCTCGGCCCCCCCCCCCTGGCACACCCTCCGGCCCCCCCCCTGGCCTTCCCCGGCACTCCTCCACGCCCCCACCCCCGCGGCACCCCCGCTGGGCACCCCCCTGCCGCGGCCCCCCCCCCCCCCGCCCCGCCCGGGCCCCCCCCCCCCTGGCACCCACCCCGTCCTCGGCAGCGAACCAGGCGGAACCGGAGCGAAACGCATTTCAAACCGGGCCGAACCAAACGGCACCCCTGACAACGACGAACCGAACCGAACCGAACTGGAAAATTCCGACGCCGAACCGAACCGAACCGAACCGGACCCATTTCGGAACCTAACCGAACCAAACCGAACTGGACCCTTCCTGCATTTGGGCTAACGTTTCAATATCCGCCGACGGGCGTACTAGCGGACCTGGAAGCTCCCAAATGACCCCATCGCGTTCTGCGCAAGCAGAAAAGGGAACCGGAGTAATTTGGAGGTGGGCGAGCTGGCGAGTGAGCAGGGGAATAAGAGAGAGGACGAGGAAGGAGGATGAGGAAGGAGGAGCAACCGCAACATCAGGAGCAGGAGTAGGAGGAGCGGAAGGAGCTGGAGGATGAGGGAATGGCGGAGCAGGGGAATCGGGGCGGCAACGACGAGGAAGGACCCCGATCCAGAAATCAGGCCCGCGCTGGGGCGGGAGCGCAATTCGGAACGACGGGAGCAAACTGCCGACCCTGAATGAGGCGAAAGCTGCAACGGGAACACCTTTTTGAACGACCTAGAATGTACCTGACTGAAGATCACGGGATCTGAAACACAATACCCTGAAACTATGTGCATTAAATGAATATGCAGGGGGACAACTGCCTCCCTCGGGCTGGATCTGGAGGCGGGAGGGGGCAGGGGGAGATGGATGGTGATGGGGGTTGTTCTCTCTCCCTATGTATCTATCCTTCTCTCTCTCTTTCTCTCTCCCTCCCCCTCCTCACTTCGATATCCAATCAAAAGACTTCTGCGTGAACCTGGGGAGAAGTCGGGGGAGGAGGCGGGGAGAAGGCGGGTGAGGAGCAGGAGGACGGCGGAGGAGGGAGACGACCTGCAGGCAGGGCGATGACGCCGCTCACACACTCTCTCCCTTCCAGTGGGAGGCGGCAAGCAGAGCAGGCGGTGGTGAAAGCTGCGCGCCTTGCTCAGACTCAGGCCCAGTTCATCGCATGATTGCGTTTTGTAGTGGGGAGGCACGTTCCCTGGTGTCGTTTCGGGAGAGCTCGACAAAACATCCCTAAGAAGGAACCCGCGCAGCGCAGCGAGCGGCTGCACAGACCACGGTGAGCTCCGGCGCGAGCACCGATGTCGCAGACGTCGCTGGGCTCGCGCATTTCCCCCTGTCGGGTCTGCTTCGCCGCATGCGTGTGGCGCAGAAGCAGAAAACGCCCTGACAGACCCGAGCCGGGGGGGGGCGCACGTACTGGTCGAAGCTCCACGTCATGGCATCTCCCTCGCTGAGGCCCAAGAACTCCTGAGCGGTGATGGGTGGCCGCAGGTGGGGCTTGCCCCCAGCGCGTGGGGCTGGCCCCCAGCACGGTGTGTTCCCACTGGTGAGCGAGAGGAGGGGTAATGCCCGTCAAGGGAGGAGGAGCACGAGAGGCAGCATCAGCAGGATGCGTGGCGGGAGCCGGAGGATGCGTCGGCGGAGGACTGGCAAGAGGAGAGGGACGTGCAGGATCAGGAGGACGCGTGAGCAAAACCAGGCGCAAAGCAGCAGAAAGAAGAAGGAACAGATCAGCAGGAGGATGAGAAAGCGGATGATGCGAAGCACGGAAGATGGGGATGATCGATGGTCGATACCCTATTTAGGTTTTCCGAGACCAGAGATCGAGGGTCGATATCGAGGTCTTGATCGAAGATCAAGGATCTCGAGGCCTTTATCGCGGATCGAGGATGATCGAGGGTCGATACTCGTGTCCCTTCTTGGTCTCTGGATGCCCTTGCATGCCTCTGGAGACCTCCACTGACTTCTGGAGGCGGAGGGGGGCAGGAGGCGATGAACAACCTGTCGGATATGGTGGGAGATTTGGGACGTGCTTTGGTGTGACGGTGGATCCCACACGCGCTCATTCAACATGTCGCTAAGAAACGATGCCACCGACCGCCTGGCTGATTATAGGCCCCCTGGAGGCGATGATAGATAGGGAGAGGGAGGAAGGATGGGTTGAGGAGGAACACGTGAAGATCACGCGGGGTGCACCTCGCGGGCGTCGCGCACCTTCCTGGCGTCTGCATTGCTGCGTTTGTGGTCGGAGTGAGTGAGACGGCGTCCTTCCAGGGGTAGCTTGATCACTGTTCCATACTAATACGCACCCCCTCCCCCACCCGACCGGCGACAAACCCAGGACCATGACAACACCCCCCTGCCATCCCTGGCCATCTCTGTCAAAAAATTATGCTAACGGAGTTCCCCACATAAAGAGATTAACGGTTTCGTGGGACCCATTTTCTTGATGCCCTCCTCGCTTTGGCGGGGCCCCGCTGGAAGGGGGGAGGGCTACGAAACCTGGCGAAGAGTAATGCTTTCCGCGCTTTACCATGTAAATAGTATGGTTTTCGGATACCCTCCTCGCTCAGGCGGGGCCTCCCTGGAGGGGTGGGAGGGGCACGAAACCATGTAAATAGTATGGTTTTCGGATACCCTCCTCGCTCAGGCGGGGCCTCCCTGGAGGGTGGGAGGGGCACGAAACCATGTAAATAGTATGGTTTCCGATACCCTCCTCGCTCAGGCGGGGCCTCCCTGGAGGGGTGGGAGGGGCACGAAACCATGTACATAGTATGGTATTCGATACCCTCCTCGCTCAGGCGGGGCCTCCCTGGAGGGGTGGGAGGGGCACGAAACCATGTAAATAGTATGGTTTTCGGATACCCTCCTCGCTCAGGCGGGGCCTCCCTGGAGGGTGGGAGGGGCACGAAACCATGTAAATAGTATGGTTTTCCGATACCCTCCTCGCTCAGGCGGGGCCTCCCTGGAGGGGTGGGAGGGGCACGAAACCATGTAAATAGTATGGTATTCCGATACCCTCCTCGCTCAGGCGGGGCCTCCCTGGAGGGGTGGGAGGGGCGCGAAACCATGTAAATAGTATGGTATTCCGATACCCTCCTCGCTCAGGCGGGGCCTCCCTGGAGGGGTGGGAGGGGCACGAAACCATGTAAATAGTATGGTTTTCCGATACCCTCCTCGCTCAGGCGGGGCCTCCCTGGAGGGGTGGGAGGGGCACGAAACCATGTAAATAGTATGGTTTTCCGATACCCTCCTCGCTCAGGCGGGGCCTCCCTGGAGGGGTGGGAGGGGCACGAAACCATGTAAATAGTATGGTTTTCCGATACCCTCCTCGCTCAGGCGGGGCCTCCCTGGAGGGGTGGGAGGGGCACGAAACCATGTAAATAGTATGGTATTCCGATACCCTCCTCGCTCAGGCGGGGCCTCCCTGGAGGGGTGGGAGGGGCACGAAACCATGTAAATAGTATGGCAGGCGGGGCCTCCCTGGAGGGGTGGGAGGGGCACGAAACCATGTAAATAGTATGGTATTCCGATACCCTCCTCGCTCAGGCGGGGCCTCCCTGGAGGGGTGGGAGGGGCACGAAACCATGTAAGTAGTATGGTTTTCGGTATGGAGTGGTATGGAATGGTATGGTAGGTATGGTATGGTACGGTATGGTATGATATGGTATGGTATGGTACTGGAGGTATGGTATGGTATGGTACGGTGTGGCATTGGTGTGATATGGTATGGTATGCTATGGTACGCCATGGTATGGTATGGTACAGTATGGTACGTATGGTGTGGTATGGTATGGTATGGTATGGTATGGTATTTGTGGTAGGAACTATGGTATGGTATGGTGTGTGTGGTAGGAATAATATTGTGCTGTATGGAAAATGGAGCGGGAGGTGGGTGGGAAGGAGAGGGTGTTCTGGGAAAACAAGAACCCCACTCAGGATGTGGGGAACAATACAACATGCACTCTGCACCAAAACCTGGATCGTGCGCCGACGCCCCGCCCGCGAAAACTTTGCAGTGTTTTTTGCCAGGGGCGGCGGGGGTGCTGGCACGCGGCCTGCTGTAGGCAATGCCCCCCCCCACACCCATTGCAAAACACAGTGCAAAAGGCTCGGACGCCGCCCCGCGATCACTTTGCAACGATTTTGGGGGCAGAGACGGCGGGGGGGCCGCCATATTGCTTGCTGTGTGCAATACCACCGCACCTCTGCAGCGTGCAGGCCCACTATCCCATTCAACAAATCATGCAAGCTTCACTTGGCCAGGGAAAAACGGGTGTGGCGGCATGCTGACTGCTGTGTGCTGGACTGCTATTCCTGTCAAAGACGAGTGCACTGTGACTGCGGGCGCACGCCCACACATACAACGCACAATGCTCGCTAGCCCGCCGTCATTGTGCGTGTTTTTGACAAGGACTGCGGGGCGCTCGACGTATTGCCCAATGTGGCGCACCTGGTGCGCGTGGCGCACCTCGCGGGCATCGCGCACAAGGTTGATTCCCGATGGTTGTCGATGGCGGCCCCTACCTTTGCTAAGACTCGGGTGCTACTCAAGTAGAGTGAAGTAGGGTGGGGGTGAGCGACACGGCTTGCGGCTTGGGGTCGCTTGACCCCTCCCCCTACCCCCTCCCCCCGGGTCTGGGGGTATTCGTGACGCGTTGGAGCGTCCCAGATGGCCCAAGATGGCTCCAATGTGGCCTGAGAAAATCCCCGATGGCTTTCAGGACTGTGCAAGATAGCCCAACATTGCTCAAGATAGTCTCTCGCATGCCTTGAAGAGGTCCCACGACCGCACCAAGATCGCATCAGGACGCCTACCAAAGACGTTCCTGAAAATATTCCCAAAATATATTGCATCCTCGCTGTTTCGCTTCCGATGGGCTTCCGGGGGCTCAAGGTGCTTCCGACATGCCCACAGGTGCCCCAAGGAGGGCCCAAGAACCAGAGCGACCGGGCTGAGCCCACCCTGCTTTTCCGCCGATGGCCTCCAGGGGGCCGACGATACTTGTCCACGACGCGACGAGGCCATGGGGAGGGGGGTACAATCGGACCTAGGCCAGAGAATATCACTGAGGAACATGAGGCCCTCCGCCGGCCAGAGCGAGCAGAACATCCAAGGGTGCACGAGGACATCCAACGAGCACGAAGAACAGTAGGCTTAAGTCGGGCGTATCCCCCTACAGGAGGATTTTGGGCGAAAAATATCACATACTCAAAAATACTCCCAAATGGTCAAAAATACTAAAACAATAGTCCCCCGACTATTTTTTGACTATTTTTGAATATTCCTCATGTAAGGGGACAGGCCCGACTTACCAGTAGGGCCCCCTCCCCGAACCGACCTCGCCTTCGTACCTCGGTCCGCACGGCGGACGCCTCGCGCCCTTAGCTGCCCCGATACGCCACACGCAACACGTGTCGTGTTGATACGGGGCTCAACACGTAGGCCGAAAACGTACAGTCAACCCGCAGAGCAAGGATGCGCGATAAGGATGCAAGGCCCTTGGAAGCCCATTTCGAAGTTTTCGAGCGGGGCGCGACTAACGAAAGTGGCCAAGGATGCACCGAGGAGGCAAGGATGCAAGGGCACCCTTGGGAAGGTTGCCCGTCCTTACTATGCGGGTGGACTGTAGGTCCGACGCCGTGCAATCGCCTAAAATAAAGGTCCAATACGTGGAACCAACACGCAACGTATTGACACGGACGTCTTGAACACGGAACGCGTTGCGTTTCAAAACGGGCGTATCGAGGCAACCAAGCTCGCGCCACGTCCTCTCTTCGCCCCGCCGTGCGGATGCTCGCACCGTGCCGCGCGAGGAGGCGCTCACAGGCCCCTGCAGCTTCGCTCCCAGTGGGCGTCCGAGGCCGCGGGGCCATCACGATCGCCGCGCACCGGCATCGTGCATCGGCGCCATCGCAATCGCCATCATGCACCGTCGCCAGCATCTCCGTCATGCATCGTCACCAGCTCGCGAGCGCATCACCAGCATCGACACCATCAGAAGCATCGCAGTCGTCTTCAGTTGCCCCCCCCCCCCCAGCACAGCCTCCGAATCACCTGAAGAGTGTCCCAAGATGGCCCAAGAGAACTCCGAACGGGCCCGAGAGGGCCGCAAGACTGCCTGAAGAGCGTCCAACGCGGGCCCCAAGAAGTCAGTCGTCGGACTCCAGCGGGGCGGGGCTGACTTGGACCTCCACTTTTCTTTGATCGTTGTGCCCCAAGATGAACCAAAGCGACCCCCCAAAGCCCCAACAAGGGCCCCAATAGGGGTCCAAGAGGGCCTCAACGGCTCCAACATGGACCCAAAAGCACGATGGTTCCGAGAGGCCTCAAAGAGGCACCAACAACGAAAGGCCCGTGAAGGCCTTGATCGATGAGCCGTCATCTTTGTCTTCTTCTCCCACAGCCTTCTCCTCCTCTTTCTCTGCTTCCTTCCCCTCCTCCCCCTTCTCCTCCTCTTCTTCCTCCCCCTCCTCCCTCTGCCCAGGGGTCACCAGACATGCAGTGGGAACGCGTGATGTAAAACACATGTTCCTTCTGCTCGCCGTCCTCCTCCTCCTCATCCTCATTCTTCTCCTCCTCCTCCTCCTCCGCCTCCTCAGCATCATCATTACCATCGTCGTCGCCACCATCATCATCAGCATCATCAACGTCATCATCACCATCATCACCACCACCACCACCATCATCATCATCATCATCATCATCATCATCATCATCATCATCATCATCATCACCAGCATCATCAGCAGCATCCTCGTCTTCGCCATCATCATCACACTCAACATCAACATCAACATCACCATAAGCATTATCATCATCAGCAACAGCATCATCATTCGTCCTCCTCCTCTTGCTCAACCTACTCATTCCCATGTTCCTTCTCCTCCTCTCGGTGATCCGGCCTTCTTCTCCTCTTCTTGCTCTTCCTCCTCGTCCTCCTCCTCCTCGCCGTCATCATCACCACCACCATCATCATCGTCATCTTTGTCCGTATCATCATAATCATGCTCATCACCATGACAATCACCATCATCACCATCGGCATCATCATCATTTTAATCATCCTCGCCATCGTCATCATCACCATCATCATCAAAAAGCATCATCATCATCATCGTCATCGTCATCGTCATCATGATCATCAACACCAATATCAACATCAACATCATCATCATCATACGTCCTCTCCTTCTTGCTTCTCCTCCTCACCCTCCTTCAACCCGTCCTCCTCATCTTCGTCATACCGCCTTTTATCCCTCCTTTTCATCCGTCCTCCTACTCCAACTTCTCATTCGAGAGGGCTTCGAAGGCATGCGTGGTTCACTGCGGGGTCCGCTCATGCTGATCCAAGTCTTCGTTTTGACGACTGCCCCCTCGCAGTTCCACTGCATTTTCCCACGCGTCCCTGATCAATGCTATTCGTCTGGGTATCGTTTCCCAGCCCATTTTTGCACTGCATGCTCCCTGATCAGGACAACTCGCCTGGGTATCGTTTCTGGATGGGCTGGTGGGGATACGCGACGCGTCTAGTATATGATTATATTTACACACACATATTTCGCAAGGGGACTTCGGGCGGGACGGTGTGATGTAGCACCAGGTGTGCCTGTGCGCGCGCGTGTGTGTGTGTGCGCGCGCGCGTGTATGTGTGTGTGTGTGTGTGCGTGTATGCTTGTGCGCGTGCTCCCCGCCATCCACTCCAGGATGGCAAGGTGCTGCCGCACTCTGACCCGGCGCGCGTGCGCGGGCACCGACCTGGGTTTCGGCCGCCGCACTTAGCTTGCCTCGTCTCGTCGCCGCGCGCGAGGCCGCGACCGCCAGCAAGTGTGTGTGTGTGTGTGTGCCTGTGTGTGTATGTGTGTCTGTGTGCGTGTGGGTTTAGTCAAATCCACCTCCTCCTCCTGCTCCTGCTCGTCCTCCTCCTCTTCCCCCCACTGCCTTCAAGCTCACTTCACCTTTACCTCTTCCTGCTCCTCACCATTCGCCTCTCGTCGCCGTCATCGTGCTCCTCCTCCTCCTGCTCCATGCCTTCCCCCCCTCGGCCTCCACCCCACTCCTCTTCCCCCTCCTCCCGGTTCCCCCTCCCACGGCGACGCCCCAGGCAGTGTGCGCGGGAGGGGGGCGCTCCTGACCCCACCCGGCCTTGCCTGCCGCCTCTGTGCGCGCGGCGGTCAGCTCCTCTCCAGCCAGCCCTGCGTGCCTGCTTGCGCGCTCGCGGGCGGCGCCGTGCGGCGGCCGGGAGGCCATCGCCACCACTATCGCCATCGCCGTCGCTGTCGCCATCGTCGTCGTTTCTGATCCTCATCCTCCTCCTCCGCCGCCTCCTTCACCCCCCCCTTCTTCCTGTGCCGCCTCCATCCACTACAAGTGAGGTGTCGCCGCCAGGGGCCACCAGCGAGGGGGCCACCAAAACTTGCAAGCGCTCGTTTTGCTGATGGGGCGCGACAGGGGGGCCGCGTGCATGACAGGGCCGCTGCTCGCGCCACGCTGGAAACTGCGAGGGGAAAGTGTGTGCTCGCGCGGCACGCCCCTCGTCCGGCACCTGCGCTGTGGTCGAGGAGGCCTTCCCCGCCGTGGCGATCCACGGGGGAAGGGGAGGGGAAGATGAGGGCGGAGAGGCAAGGAATGATCAGGGAGGGAAGGGGATGAGGACGAGAAAGAGGAAGACGAGGAGAAGGAGGAGGAGGAGGAGCAGGAAGAGGAGGAAAGATCTGGATGGGAGAAGGGGAATCAAACGGAACGGAGCGGAACACTGAGAGCGAACCGCGCGTGCTGGCGCCCAGCTGCGCGCCCTAAGGGCTCGGTGTAAGCTGGTCGGCCCATCGAGCCAGCGGGCGCCTGCGGGCTCTCTGCTCTTCTGGAATCCAATCGTGTGCTCTTCGGGCCCACCGTTCAGCACTCAGCCAGCCCAATCGTGCATTCCAGCGTTGAAGCCTGGAGCGGCGCTCATCAGTCCCTCCGGGTATGCTGAACTACGCCATAACGTGCCACGCCTCGGTCGCAACACGCTGTGCCCATCCCACCCATGTGTCAATGTCCCCTTGTGGCGAAACAGTGAGCCGTCGTCCAGACATCGCCCTGATCGTCTTGAACCGCGTGCTTTGCAACCGTGAATCCGGTTCATCTATCATCACTCAGTTGCCGCAGCCGTAGAAGACAGTTGGGCTCACACTATAAGGACACCCTTAGATGGATCGGGCCACCCCTGTCAGTCACTTCCTGTTTGAAAATACCCAACTTCGCCCAAACCTTCTTTAATCGATGTGCGACTTCGGAACCGTGAACACTCGTTAGTGTCAGTGCTCGCCCCAAATAGATATTGCTGGAGTGCGGCTCCATAGCTTCGATTGTCATTCCTCCCACGACAACCATTCTTACATTGCTCCCATGACCAATGTTGTTGTGCTGAAATTCGTTCCCTCTGGGTGTAGCTCCAGACCGACTTTGGCACGAAGAAGGAAGGAACCAGGGGAACAAGAAGAGGATACATCCGACGCTGCAACGCACCCTTCCGTCCAAAGCCCCCTCCTCATTCACCCATGTAAGTAATCCTTTCTACTGTTGTAAAATATTCCCCCCTCCACTTGGATGAAACACAAGGTAGCCCCAATTCGAAAACAAAAAAAGCACAAGCCCCCCGTCCGTCTAAGCGTCGCAGGATGCTTGTGTCCTGGACGCGTAGCCCGCGGAAGTCCCACGCGAAAGCCCTTCAAGGAGGCCCAGGGCCCAGGGACAACCTCGTTTTGGAAAAGCGTGCCCTCCATCAGTCTAGTCGCTGCAATATGTCAAAATGTTGGAAATCTGTCTCGTGGATGTCTGATGCGAGAGCCCCGTTTAGAAAGAGAAGCCGCCCTTCATCAGTGCTAGAAAAAAAGGTCGTGAGTGTAGATGTAGAGGGCGAGCTATGGAACGCTGGGACGTCAAGGTCGAAAAAGGGTCACGTGAGTGGAGATGGTGGGCTTCGTGCTCGGACGCCCACGAGACCAAGGGGAGATCCCAACACGGTGGGGGCGTTCGTCAAGAGGCAGCTTCAGACTGTGGGAAATCATTGTCTGATGACGGCGGCGGTGAGATCCACGGCCGGCCCGCAACTGGAATTCCACCGGCTTCAAGACGTTGGCTTCCTGATCGGTTCGTTGCCTAATGCGCCCAGAATCTTGGAAAGGATGCATCACCCACTCGCGCAGCTAAGGGGACTTCACGGAGCAGGGCGAGAGCCCTTTCTTGAAAACGACCCGCCCACTATTCGATTTCGGTTGTGCTAAAAGTTGTGCGCGGCGCAACCAATGCGAAAACACCATGGTGTCCACGCGCCAACGCGATCGCGGCGAAGACGGCGATGAAGATGATAATGTGGATGCCTTTTGCTGCTGGTGGCGGCGGCGGCAAGCCTGGGAGCACCTGGGGAGGGATTATGGCGTCTGGGAGAGTCTGGGAAAGCCTGGGATCGTCCGGGGGCGTCTGCGAGGGCCTGGGGCAGCCTGGGGAACGCTCGGGTCCCACATCGGAATCGGCGGCGAAATGTGCTCGAAACATATCGTTTCATCATGATTTTGCGCTTCGGGGCCAGGGGGGTAGTCGATGCTGCAGATCAGCAGATGCGTGCCAAATTCAGTTCTCTACACGGGATGGTGACGGTTGGATTGGATGGGTGTGCAACGTATCGCATCTTTTGCAATCGGATTTTGAAGGTTAAGTCAGATGGATGTGCACCAAATTCACTGGAAGACAAACAAGATGATGAACGATTCGGTCGTACGTATCAACACCGAATCGTATATGTTGCATGGTATGGTGAATGTTGGGTCAGATGGATGTGCTCCGCATCAGAATTGTTGCGTAAAATGGCGAAAGCTGGGTCGTACGACGGGGCGCTGGTAAATGTATTTTAAAATGGGGTGTTGAGGGTTGGGTCGTACGGAGGATGGCGAACTTGCAGCTGCCGCGAAAAATGGTCAAGGTTGGATCGGATGAACGTGCATCGAACAATAATGTGTTGCCCGGCTGCTGAAGGCTGGGTATGATTGAGGTGCGCGGCGCTGGACAGCCACATGGGGAGCTGGCCTCCATATTTGAAGTTGCTACAAATTTGTTAAAGCGAATGTGCGCGGCGCTGGGACGAGAACGGCGTACAGAAAACAAGCAGGCCTCAGTCTTTGAAGCTCTTGCAAGGCTTGTATAAAGAAACGAATTAGCGCGGTGCTCACGCAGGAAACGCATTTTGAATACCATCCAGGCTCCAACCTTGAAGCTTCTGCAAATTTCAGGTTCAAGCGAAACGCCCAGCACGGCTATAGATCCGTCTGTTGGTGCGAGAAGGATGAGTTATCCATGAGGAAAAGGGGTGCAGGAGGATGGATCAAAGGGAGATAGATAAGAGGAGGAGGAAACGAGGAAGTGGAGGAGGAAGGGAGGTCGACGAGGTGGAGAAAGAGAGAGAGAGAGAGACAAAGAGAGAGAGAGAGAGAAAGAACATACACAAGAGGTGCGCTTTCCCGGCCGACTGGCAGTCCTGGGGCGGGGCACATGGCGGGGCCTCGGCCCCAGAATTCTTGCAATTCTCGTGGACGCCCAACTTCTCGAATGTCGCAAGCGTGCCATACATCATTAACTTTCGCTAGTACTAACTTGATCCCCGTAGACACTCAGCTACCTGATCCTCGCAAATACGCAGCCTCTGTGATTGTGGAATGGTACATGATGTCGACGCGTCATCCCATCTCCTCCGAGGCCCGCTGGGCCTTCTGAGCTACTCTTGAAGTTCCAACAGGAATACTCGGCGTGCCAACGGCGCCTCACTGGCGTCCAACATTTGCAACCGCCCGCTGGTCACTGGTCACTCCACCACGGATCTCGCTCACAGGGCGTCACACGGCGCCTCACTGGTCACTCCCCCCACGGATCTAAAATATTCTTACCTTCGTCACCACTGCCTGGCAACACTCCGCCATGGCGTGCTGACGATGTGTCCGACGCCGTGCCCTGTTTGGCGATCCTCCATTCTGCTCCTGCAATCCCGCGGGGCAGTTTCTCTGTGCGCGCATTGCATTATGTTCGCCAATCATTGAATCACTACCCACACTTAGCACCGAATCGGAAGAGTCGCAAAAACTGTACTGTCAAACAAATGCGGATTTCGAATGCAGTGACTACTTTTTGTTAACAGACCCATCGCAGAAGCACATGGAACGCTTCAATGCCGAATTTGTCACATGGAGCACGTGGTCAATATTTGCATTATGCGGGTGCTGGAAAAATATCATCCAGCCGCAACACCACTTCGATACTCAGATGTCCATCTTGTACACGACGGTACTTCGGGCGCCTTGTGATATTCAGGATCTTGGTCTTGTCAGGGTAATGTTCCAGACCCCGCAGGAAAGCCGCGCGCCGAATATCAGAAAGCATCCCTCTGTCTTGTCGCAACGTTGCGCCAATCAGTAAAACGTCATCAGTAAAGCGCATCTTTGTCACCGTCCAGTCGGCGCAAAGCAACATCCCTGAGCACGTCTTCCAGAAAAGCGTTCGACAACCTGTTGCTCGAAGGATCATCTTGCCTTGTGCCTCGCAGGATGTTGTATGGTTTGCTGATCTGGTCTGTGCGCGCCCTCGCTTGGTACAATACCTGTAGCAGCTGTACATCTAAGTCCGGTGCTCGTTGCTTAGGCACCACGCGGCCAATACTGTCGCGGTCCACGGGATCGAACGCATTTTGGAACCGATAGCTCCAAAGGATCCGTTACCACTGGTGGCAATTTTCAAGAAACAGACTGGTGGTAAACATGTGGTGTACAGTGGCTACACCTTTCCAAGAACCGGCTTGGTCCAGTGCCAGCGAAGCGTCAAGGACAACATGCAGCAAGGCATACAGCAATGTGGCGGAGAGTGCGCACCGCAGCGGAATGATTGTGATCGTCGCATGAATTTCTAGCCGACGCCCGGGCTACACTTTTGAGTCTCACGCTGAAGGGACGAAGGAGGTCGATGAGGAGGGTGAGGAATTTGAATTGGGGGGAATGTGGGGGGGCAGGACGATGAGGAGCATGATGAAGATCAGGCGGGGAGGCGCTCTCCCGGACACTGCGCTCAGGCAGCCAACCGCTGCGCGACCGGGGAGGCACAGAGCCCCCCACACCCCCCTCCCGCGGCAGGTCCTCCTGCGGAGGGCGGCTGAGAACTTCGCCGCGGCCCCTGCCCGCCCCCGTCGTCCTCTTGCTCCTGCTCCTGCTGCTGCTGTTGCTGCTCGTCGTCATCGTCGTCGTTGTCCTCCTCCTCCTTTTTGCGTTGACAGGCATTGGCAGGGTGGCCGTTGCGTCAATGGAGGCGTTCGCGACCAAATAAAGAAAGAACGATCGGAACGTAACGCGCGATCGACCTGGGGCCTGTGTACACATGCCCCAGGTGTCGGCAACGTGCGCTCCTTGAAGAGAGAAGGGATGCGACTATGTCCTTGACGGGAGAAGGAAGGCGAAGAGGTGAGGAAAAGTAGAGAAGCCCTCTCAGGCGTAGATGTGGGCACCAGACAAGGACCCTTACTGAGGGTAAGGTGTACACAGGATCCGCCTCCACCGTTCTCTGAAAAACATCTCCTCACAATACACCACCACGAGCCCTGGCCAGGCCTATCGTGGTCCCCAGACTGGTGTACAGGCCTTCCTGGCCTAGGCCAGGAGGTCTGTACACCCATCCAGGGCAAGGAAGTGCCTGGCCAGGGCTGCTGATGGTGTATAGTTAGCGTCTCTCCAAATACTGGCGCGCACGAAGATGCGAGGACCTCGAAGACAGGCCTGAGCGGTGCCAAAGCCTGTCTGTCACGCAAGAAGCCGACGTGGAAAAAGGCAGCCCACGGAAGGTGATCTTGCGCTCTGATTCTGCGGCGGCATCAGCAGCGAAGGGTGCGTCGAAGGACTGGCATGGGCGGTGCCAGCCAAGCCATCATAAAAGGCCGACGTGGAACGTAGCAGCCCTGCGGCGGCATCAGCAGCGGAGGGAAGGGAAAAGGGAAGGGACGATGTAGGAGCGCAGGAAGAATGGTGGGGTTGCTGGACCTCGTACTCCTGCAACGAACGAGGCGTGGACCAATGGTACAACCGTAAAGGCTTTGCGCAACTTCACCGGTGAGTCGGACGTACTTGCGACTCTGATGTAAAAGGCATGGGCAAGCGATCTGCTCCTCCATCTCCAAACCTTCTCCTCTCCCCATTCCTCCTCCTCCTCCTCATCGCGTTGCGGTCGGTCCTGCTGACCTGAGTCTTGCTAGCACGAGACGCACGGTACTGGTTGGATGATTACGATCACGCGGAACGAGCACAAAGAGGACACGAAGGGAAGGAACATGAGGATGGTACTGAGAGAGAAACAGATAGCACATCGAACATTCGAGGTGAGCACGTGCCGTCCTGCAAACCTGGTGAGGTATAGTTTACTACCAATGAACGTGGCGGGTGCCGAATCGTTCGTCTATGTCCTCCGCCTACTCTTCCTCTGTTCCCCGGCCCTCTTTCTGTCGCAAAGCTGGCGCAAGCAAAATTGGCCAGGACGTGACGCGATGGCGACGGCTGTGACAACTTGCCGAATTTGGTGTGGTGGCGGTGGCTGCTTAGGATCTGTCGACATTTACGCTCGACTCGCTTAGCCAGCAAGGCTAGATGCAGGGCTGGTGAATACAGAGAGCCTATTCTACAAATGCTCCCCATCCCCTCTACCGCCACCAAAACCCGCCCCCCGTGCTCGGCCCTCAGGAGGTGGTGAAGTGACGATGCGGAATAATCGTCTGTGAGGGATGGGTAGGTTGGGAAGGCGGGAGGGCCTCCCAGAGTGCATCTGTGATGTAGATGCCCACGTGTTTGTCCTGTTCGGTTGCAGTCGAACGAAGGCCTGGCGTAGACTATCGGGATATTTCTGGTCAACACCAGCCAACTCCATGAGAGACTGTACGCGTCCGTGAACAATGGTATGTTGCCACACTTTGTCGAAGACTCGCCTGACGTATTCTTCTGTATGCTTATACATATATATATATACATACACCGCGAAGCAAGCTGCGTCTCGGCGGATCGCCACCGCGCCGTGGGCTCTTGGTGGATTCTCCTCCCGCCCCTTCCGACTTATGTGCTTCACACTGTAAGTGCACTCTCGAGGGGCCCACGCCCCGAATTCACGGGCGCTCCCGATCGCTCGCGGGGCGGCCCGCGCGACCTGTTTCGGAGGCCTCGGGCGCGGGGCTAGATCTGCGTGCATTCCTATGGCAGAGGATTCCTCGGAAAGGTCTTGTGTCCTCTCGCGCGTCCTCCCCAATCCGCCCGGCTGTGCTTCCAGCATGGCCGACTGGCCCGTCCTGGAACCCGCTTCGGTGCCCTCGAGGCCGGCTTGGAGGCTTCCCAGACGGCCCGGGAGGCCCCGAACGCTGCGCCAGCGCGGCCTCCAAGTCACCTGGGAGGGGCCCACGCGGCCACCAAGAAGGCCCCAAGAGGAGCCCAAGGTGGGGAACGCGAACTGACATCTGGAGCCCTGGACCCCAGGATGGCTTCGCAGACCACCAGGTGGCCCCCAAGAGCCCTCCCCAAAAGCCCACAGGATGCCTCAGGAGACCCCTCCAAGAGGCCCCCAAAGGAATTCCAGAGCTTCCCCTCGTCCACAGCCCGGACGCGGGTTGGGCCGACAGACGCAGACCCACCGTCTCCGTGACCTGCAGGAGGGCTGCCTTGGCGGCGTGCCGAATTTTCAATTTGTGTTTGGAACTGTTTTTGTCTGTCGGTGCTCGGCCCAACCCACCGGCAAGCCCCGCCGGAACCCGCCGCCGCAGACATCGGGGGGGGAATGGTGCTCTACTGCAAGATGGCTCCAAGACGGCCAGGGAGGCCCCATACGGGCGCCAAGACGGTCCAAGACGGCCTCCAAGTCCAAGACGGGCCAAGAGGGTCCCAGAGGCCTCCAAATGAGCCTCAGGATGCCTCCGATCCGGCGTCAAGGCAGCCAAGGATGTCCGCGATGCTGCCCAAGGGGCCTCCGAGAGGACGGCGGTGTGGCGCCGACGGACGCTTACCCCGATTCGGAATGAGCGCGGAAAGAGTAGGGCTCCGAGGTCCAAGGCGATGGCAAGGACCAGCCCTCGGCGGCGAGCCCAGGGGGGATGTGAGAAGGAGAAGGCCTTCTCAAAGGCTCGGAACCCCCCCTGGCCTTCAGAGAATTGTCTGAGCCTTCCCCGAAGACACGGAAAACTTCTCGGTAGGCGTAAGGGCTTCTGAGGAGTCCCGACGCCTTCTGAGAAAGCCTTCTCCTTCTCACTTCCCCGCCTCACTCGCCGCCGAAGCCCGGCATCGGTCTGCTTGTGGACCTGCCGCGCACTGTCTAGAACAAATATGTGTTCGTAGAGAAGGCAACACTCACCATCTCGTAACATGAGGACAGACACAGAAGCTTTCACAGAGCATCATAGCAGCACCTGCACATTCCAATGTCACTTTGCGGTAGGCCTGCCAGCAGGCTGGTATGCTTCGCCGCTGCTGGAAGGACTGGCCGCCCCCCCCTCGCGCGCCCTCCCCTCCGATGAACTCGCCGACGCAGCCGTCGCCCGGCGAGGCGAGAGCCTCCAGCGGGAGATCCTGGCTGAGGTGGCGCAGGTGTGACAACCGTCGCGATGGTGAGAAGGAGATGGAGGGGGAGGAGGCGCAGGAGGAGGAGACGCAATGTTTGAAGGGTGGAGGGAGTGAGGAGGAGAAGGAACAGGCGGCGGAGCAGGCGGGGCCAGAGGTCGAGGAGGCATGGTCATGAGGAGGAGGAGGAGGAGGAGGAGGAGGAGGACAATGAGGAAAAGCAGGAGGGGCCTGACTACTGTGTTGACGATGATGTTTTCCGATGTCTCATGCACGGTCGTGAACATTTGCTTTGCGTGTCGCGGCCGCGGTCCCAACGGCACGCCATGCCTTGCGAGTGGAGAACGTGCCGCTCCGCTACGCGAGGCGGGAGGCTCGGACAAGCTCGGGACGTGGACGCCTGGGGACCGGGATGTGGATAGCGTGTCTCCTCCTCCTCCTCCTCCTCCTCCTCCTCCTCCTCGTGGGCCAGAACCTGCGCAGCAACACGCTTTCCGACCGTACAAAATTGACGATGATGGTTTCAGTATTTCAGGTATCACGGAATCCTGAGGAACAGCTGCATGGCCTCGCCGAGGCCACCCTGCCAGCAGCAGACCAAAGAGCAGTTGAGGACGCCGAGCCCGAGGACCAGCCTTCCGCAGCCCGAGAGGCGCAATGGGCGGGTCCCGCCGCCCGCTCTTGACCAGCAGAGGTGGGCACCTTCCTTGCGCCACAGGACTACGACGGCTACGACGTTCTGAGTGGCGCAGAAGGGGAGGAGATGGCCACGACGAGGCCCTACGGCAAGCAAAGCTGCTGGCCTCTGCCCGCCCCGGTGACGACGCTGAGAGGGTCGGCGCGTCCTCCTCTCTTGTCGAGGGGTCGGCCAAGCGTGGCCGAGCGCTCTCGGCACTTGGGCGGGATTCCTGGATTGGGGAGGCCGCTTTGCGCTGCGCCAGCCCAGGAGGGGGCACGACGATCGCCACCGGCGTCGCCTTCGCCGCCGACCTCCCCCGCACCTGCAGTGTGCAGGCCCTGGCCGGCGCACCCCCTCCCCGCCCAGAAGCGTGGCCGCCCTTCGCGTGCCGCTCCGGGAGAGCCTGCCCCGCCCGGTGGGGCAGCGGGGAGATGCCAGGGCCCCGTAGGCAGGGAGCACGCCGTGCACCAGACTTCGGCGCGCGCGCGCGCGCGAGGAAGCTGCAGCCGTGGGCCCGACCGTGAGCCATGCTTTCGTCCCCTCCCAGGTGGGATTCTCAGAGCTCGTCTCAGCAAGATCCTTTGAGCCGGGACCGACCGTCCCGGCAGTCCTACAGTCCTGCCACGAAATGTTCTTAGAACCCCAACTGTTCGAATAACAAACACAATGTTCTTAGAACATGAGCCCGATGCGGCCAAACGAGACAGACTCCGCCAGACATGCTCTAAGAGCATTTCGTGGAAGCCGCACCAAGGGTTCTTAGAACATTGCTTGGCAGGGCTATAGGCCAGCCAGGACGCTTCACCACTGCCTGAATCTTGGCGTGCAACGAAGCCCCGAGAAAAATGCGCCCGCTTCCGGCAGGCCCGCGCCCGCTGGATGGCCAGCGCACAGGTCGCGCCACAGCGTTTTTTTCCGGAGCGCCGGGGGCAGGGTGAAGAGATACCTGCAGGGGCCCTTGGACACAAATAAAGAGACACAAATCACAGGATTTCCTATAATTGCCCGTATGCTCTGGGTTCTTGTCTTCCCCCCCCCACCCCACTTCCCATAACTATTTTCCCCCGTCTTCTGGGGAATCGACGATTCATTGTCTGTGTGCTTTTTTCCCTCCTGAGGATACGAGAACGGCGCCCGTCCACCGTACCATGTCTGGACTCCCGCCAGGGCCCGCTCCAGCGCGGTACGGTGCTTCGCTGTCTCGGTCCTGGGGGCCCAACAAAAAAATGCATCCTACCGCTTCTGGGTTGAGGACTGGCCACACCTCGGGAGACTCGAGGCCTCCTGGATGGGGCCCGAGCAGATGGGACTGGAGGATCGCGCCGCATCGCCGATGCATCGGCGATGCATGGGCGATGCAGTACCGAAGCATCGGCGAGGCATCGGCGACGCAAGCGACGCATCGGCGACGTTGGCGTGTAGAAAGTCGGGCTCCACACCGAGTCGCAACGGCGATGCGGCGCGATCCTCTGACCCCGTCAATTCCGACCCTAGCCGGGAGGGCTAGATTGGACAATAATGATGTCATGATGCGATTGGCTCAAAATACGTTCCATGAGCTCCAGAAATCCTCGTTGCTGGAAGCCGTGGGGAACGAGCCGGAAGTCGAGGAAGTGTTAGACATCTCAGAAAGCCTGGAACGCATCTTCATCATGACTTCTCGCTCCGCTGACTAGAGCAAGGCCAACGCTGCGATCCTCCGACATCATCTGCTCCGACCCCATCTGTGAAGGGCAACAATCGGGGGGACTGGCTCATGAGGGGGAACATCGACCTGGAATCGGCGATACGTCGCCGATAGATCGGCGATAGGCCCCCGATAACAAATCTGCACGCTCCTGGGCAGGGAGAGGCTATCAGACCCTTATCGGAGATCAATGGGCCCTTGGGGGTCGATGCATCCCCCCTGAGCACATCCCCACATACAGCCGGACCAAGGACAGACGACGATCCTTCTAGAGCATGAGAACCACCGCCGGAGAGAACACCCCAAACCATCAGCTCACCGAGGGTACCCTTCCCCAGGATGCATAAGAGCACACGACAGATACGAAAAACACCGAGGTACCCTGCCCGAGCCGACCTCGATCTCATACTTCGGTCCGGCCGTACCCTCCCCCTGTCGTTGCCCCTGGATCTGCGATGGGCCTAGAGAGACGCCAGCGCTGCACGGAGCACACCCTGCCGTCGCTCGGACGTCAATTTCCCGTGCCTGTTTCGGTTTCGTGTGTTCTTTTTGTTGCTCGATGGTCCAGGATGGTCCTCGATGGATCTCGCCGAGAAAAAATGCACACGTCCGAGCGACGCCAAGACACAGGCCGCCCGCCGAAAGGAGGCGAGCCACAGCCCGCCGCTGCGGGGGGCGAGCCCGGCGTCCTCGCCGAGGACGGCGGCGAAGAAGTGGCCTGCCGCCCGCGCGGGGGCGCGGGGGGCGCGAGCGGCCCGGGAGCCGCCCTCGTCCACGCCCTCTGGGGGGGGGGGAGGACTCGTCTTCCTCCTCGTCCTCGTCCTCCAGTTTCTCCTCGAATTCCTCCAGCAGCTCCTCCTCGGGTCTCTTCTTTGCCTCCTCCTCCTCGTCCCTCCCCCTTCTTCTCCACCCCCTCCTCGCTCCCCCGTCCTCCCTCAATTCCCCTTCCTCCTCCTCCTACTCCTCCTCCTCCTTCTCCTCCTGCTCCATATTCTCGCTCTTCCAGTCTTCCTCGCTCCTCCTTCTCCTTCCTCCTGTCCTCCCGAGTGTGTAGGCCCTCCTTTCCCACCCTCCCCATCTCTTGTGGTCGGCCCTCGTCGCCTCGATATCGCATCAGCCGGTCACGTATGTCCGGATCTAGGCCCATCTCCAAATGTCTACCATCGATCGGGTGTTGTTGATTGTGTGTGTGCTGTCGTGGATATCTTTTGTAATAATCATGTCACGCTCTGGAGGTCCCATCGATACCAATCCCATCCGCAATGCGCCATGCCGACGTGATGAAACCATGTGCTGCCACATATCAGTGTAAGTGGTGTGGGGCCTGTTGCCTGACAGCGTCGGTACTTACGAAGTTGCCGGATAACCCTGCGACGCAAAACAAATGCCAGAGTGGTGAAAACATTTTGATGTATTGCTGTGTGCGGTGCAGTGTAGGTGGTGCGGCCAATGGGGTGCAGCGCGATGCACATCAATGCGGTACTAACTAATACCAGTCAGTGTACAGCAATGCGACTCAATGTATTGCAATGCGTCCTAGTGCGAACTATTGTATAGCAGTGCGAAGCGATGCACACCAACGCACACCAATGCAACGCAATGTAACCCCATGCATTGCAGTGCTAGGCACTGCACAGCAATGCAAGTCAACGCGATGTAGAAACTGCCAAACAATACAAAACCATGCAGCGCAGCGCAAAGCAACGCAATGCGATGCACAGCAATGCAAATCAATGCCAAGCAAAACAACCCAATGCAAAACCATGCAATACAACGCGGCGACGGGCGGTGACGAGCCGGCCAGACCGTGACTGGAGCCCAACAGCGACGGCGGCAACGGGCGGCGACCAGCCTGCTGGACCGCCACCGGGGTCTAGTACACAAGTAAGAACGCCGAAGTGCAAACATTGATTGGGGATGCTACCCTTCCGCCCCTAATCAGAGGACTGTGCGAAATCAAGCTGCAGCCACGAAGGCCGCTAAAGAAGGAACGACACCCTTGCTTGGCACCAAAGAGCTCCTGGGGGAACGAGGGGAACTGGAGGAACAACCACGGAGTGCCCCAACGAACGAAGAGCCCCTTCCGAATCCAAAGCGGCCCACGTTTTAGCGGTACTAGGGCCAGGGCGGCAGCGATACACCCCGCAAAGGCCCGCGAACCCAGATCCTCTGGGCGGGCAGTCTCTGGGTGCCTTCTTGGGGTCCTTGGTGTTCTTGAGCGACGATCAAGTTCGGGTCTTGCGGGAGATGCGGTGTCGACCATACGCGGCGGCCTGCGCGGGCCGCCGGCGCGGCACGCCGCATTGGAGCCGAGGGCGCTTTCGTGCGACCTTACGCGGGAAGCTGACGCGTCAATGTCGGCGCAATCAATGTTTTTGGTGTCGCTCGCTTGATGGCTCCGGCAGTTCCTGATTTTCCCCTTGGTAGTCTCAGGGCCGTTCGATTTTCCTCTTTGGGCTCAGGCAGGAAGAAGAAGAAGCGGCCTCCAGCTTTTTACTGCACCTTTGCGCACCCCGATGCGGAACGGAATTCAGCCCAATTTCCCCAATCAAGGTCCAAACATTTCCGCCTCCACCGTAGCATGCATGATGGGTTTGCTCCCGGCTTTCATGGTGCCCGAACCTCCACTGCGTGAGCACACAACGGAAGCCCAAAAAGAGTTACGTGGCTACCCGATAATCGACAGTGGTATCCGCCGACCCCTTGTGGGTCTCTAGGCGTGTGAGATAGTTCCCCCCCCTATAGTCCCCCCCCCGGGGCCCCAAACCGGCGATTTGACCCCCCCCCCCCGGGCCCGGGACGAGCGCCTCCGGGGCTTTTCCGGGCCCCAGGAAGCCTCAAGACGGGCCAAGATGGCCCCAAGAGGCCTTCAAGACGGCCCACGGGAGCCCCGAGACGCCAAACGAGCGCTCCCAGACGCCCAAGATGGCTCAAAGACGGGCTAAGAGGCCTCCAAGACGGCCCAAGAGGTCCCCAAGAGGCCCCAAGAGGCCTCCAAGATGCGTCCCACGAGGGTCCCTAGACGTAAAAATTTGCCCATTCCCTTCGTAAAACGTACATTTTTCACGAATTCGCTTTTTGGGCTTTCGGACGCTCCCAGACGGCCCAAGAGGCCCTAAATACCGCCCCAAGACGGTCCAAGCAGCCTCCAGGGAAACTCAAAGGCAGCCCAAGAGAGCCCCAAGACAGCCCAAGACGCGCCCAAGATTGCCCAAGAGGGCCCCGAAGACGGCCCCAAGAGCGCTCCAGGAGCGCTTCAAGTGGCCTCCAAGAGAGCTCAATATGGTCACAGACGGTCGAAGAGCGATCAAAGACACCGACGATCGCCTCCAGACGGCCCAAGACGGCCCCAAGAGGCCCCAAGAGGCCTCCAAGATGCGTCCCAGGAGGGCCCCAAGAGGCCGCCAGAGGCCCCCAAGAGGCCGCCAAGACGCCCCAAGGAGCCCCCAAGAGCCCCCCAGGAGGCCTCCAAAAGACCCCCAGACGCTTCCGCATTGCGAGCCGTCAAGCCAACTGCAATGCACTCCGCGCATGCAGCCTTGCTCTTCCTCGCGACGTGCTCACAATCTTGCTCGGCGCGAATGTGCTGCTGCTACGCGAACTGTTTCGTGCGCGCTGCGAACGTCAACAGCCTCTTCACCCGTTTCGACTCATCTGCCACATCTTTCGCGGTGATGTTTCGCTGATCACAGCAAACATTTGGACCCCCTACGTATCTGCCACCACCCGCGCGCGACACCGCACCCTCACACAAGACGCCGCTGGCCAGAAACTCCTGGTCTCGCAACAGTCACAGAAGGGGTCGGCGGATGTGGCGTAAGCCTGTAGAATCTGTATATAGCACCACACACCCTACTGCTGTTACCAAACCTTGGCCTCAGCGACTTCGCCGACAACGCTTGAAGATGCGTCTGTGCCAATAGCGCTGTCCCTGTAGTATCACATTGAAAGAACACGACGCCCATGCAGTCCTCGCCCAGGGCACCCCTCTTGTATATATTGTTGAGGGTTAGGTGTACGTCCTGTAATGGTTTCTTGATATATACCTCCCTGCTCCTTCTAAAGTCTCATACGGGAGGCCCCCAAACACTACCGTCGTAATGCCCGTCGCACGCGGTGCAACTGTCGATGATCTAAGTGTCGTGCTGATTTGAACTTGTGGTAGGTCCTGCCTGCATTCGGACATTTCTTACCGTATCTCGCCATGTGTGCTGGTGATTCCTCCCCGTGTCGTCCCAAGGTCATCCTCCAAATTGGCAGTCCTGGTGTTGATCTCCCCCATTCACGCTTCCAGCGTCGTCTTGAAGGCGTGGGAGTCTGTGTTCATGGATTTGCCCGCTCTCATGACAGAGAACATGCGCTGGCGGAACATGTTGTGCATGTTGGCTAAAACTACCGGTGCCTCTGGATAATCAATATCCTCATGTTTCGGTTGGTCGCCAAATTCCGACTGGAACGTACTTGGAAAGGCACCAATGCAGCCTCCGCCCGAACGTGTTGGTGAGCGGTTCGTCGGGCAGCGACGTCGGCCTGTGTAGTATCCATGGCGGCACTTGGGCCGCCCAGCCGCGGCTGCTCGAGTACGCCCTTCGGCGGCGGTGCGGCCAGGGCGTAAGCCTCTGGGCGTCCAAGTCGTTTGGGTCCCCCCCCAGTCGGTCGCAAATCATTGCCACCTGCCGAACCTGCTGACATGACGATGGGCTGGAAAGAGTGCGTGAAATGTACACTTGGGATCGAGCGTGACATGAAGAATTATGATTGTAGAAAACGCTTGGGCCAACTGCAGAAAGCTGGGCGGCCAGGTGACGGAGAAAGTTGGGCGGCCAGGTGACGGAGAAAGGGGACCATGAAAAGGGTCCAGAGAACTCCCGAGAGGGGGCATCCTTGGGCCACCCCAAGGGAGACGATACATAGGGGAAGCCGTCTGTGCCCGCAGCGGGTGTGGGCGAGAGCCCTTTTTGATAGAGAGGGCCATTCAGATTCTGAGACCCGTAGGTGGATTAGGAGGAGGATGAGGAGGACCAGTGTAAACCCAAGAGCCATCAACGATGTTGGAAGACACCCTCCCTCCAAGCTCCCTCTTCATGGGCCCCTACGACAATTCATTTCCATTGAAGGATCTGCCTCGTTGGAAGGCAACCGGTGGGAGACCCGGAAGCATGCCAAAAATTGTTCTCGGGATTCCAACGCCACAGATCAACCTGATTGTTGCGTCCTGGCGATCCCGGATCGTGCCACAACGCTATGATTGGGATTCCAGCACCGCGAATCAAAGTAACTGTTGCACCCGCAGAATCCTGGAATCATCCAAAACACAATTTCAGGTACGTTGATCGTGGGAATCCGTGAAACTCTTGCACAAATTGTCAATGAACGTGCGCTGCCCTAAAACGGGAATCCGTCAAACTCTTGCAATCTTTTGAGACGAATGTGCGCGGCGCTGAGGCGAAAACCGCATTTTTGGAAACGGGGGATCTTCAATCCGTGAAGCTCTTGCATATTTTTAAAACGAATGCGCGCGGCGCTAAAGCGATAACCACATGTTGACAGCGGGTGATACTCAATCCGTGAAGCTCTTGCAAATATTTAAACAAATGTGCGCGGCGCTGGGGCGAAAACTACATTTTGAAAACCACCCGCCCTCCATCTGTGAAAATGTTGCCAATTCTAAAGCTTCAGAGTCATGAAGAAGTCTCAAAAAAAAACGCCCGACCCGCCATAAAATCTGGCCTCGGGGTGCGACAGGGAGAAATGATCTATAAGGAACAGGAATGGAGGAGGATGAGGAGGAGGAAGAGGATGATGAAAAAAAAAGGGAGACACTTGAGCACACATCCCAGGGCCAAGCACGCATGTGTGGGGTCGCCCATAATCTGGATATAGTGGAACGATCTTTCGGCGGCGAGCAATCGAACCCGGGTCCTTTCTCAGGTCTGGTGTGGGTGGGCGCTCTTGCAGCGCGGCGCCCGCGTTGATTGAGCGCTCACCCTGGGCCCTGGCAAACCATAGCGTGCTCGAGAAAACGGCACCACTACCCCGAGTGCGGCCAAACAATCATTCATCGGTGAGGCCGATAGAAAGAACATACTTGTTTCTCGTGTGGGTCGAAGCCTGCGGCCTGACGGCTTCGACGGCGACGGCGACGATGACGAACCGGGGACATGTCTCCAACCGCCCCTTTCCCAAACGGGGCGCTGTCTCCCGGGCATGTCTTGAACCCACCAGCCCTCTGGGCGCAGGAGGTCCAGAGCGTTTCCTTTTCTCAACCTCCTTCCTTTCCCTGCTCGGGAGGTTTACCCCCCCCTCTCCCTGGGTCTGGACGGGCTCCCCCGCGAGGGGTTAGAGCATCCAAGATGATAGCTTCAAGAAGGCTTTAGCTAGCCCAAGAAGGTTTCCAAGATCGCCCAAGAGACCTCAAGACGGCTCAAGACAGCCTCAAACACGCATCCAGGAGGCCTCAAGACGGCCCCAAAGCGGTTTCAAGCGCCCTCCGAACCCCCCAAGGACCCCACCAAGAGGCCAACATATGTTCGAAACCTACCGGAAATCCATGTTGTTTGCCTTTTCGCTTTTTCGTTTCTGATGGGCTCTTGAGGCGTCAAGATGGCCCCAAGATGACCCAACAGAGCCCCAAGAGAGGCCCAAGAGGGCCCCAATACGGCCCCAACAGCGCACACGATCGCTCTGAGAACGGTCCAAGAGGGCCCCAAGACGCCCCTGTTGGGCCCCCGAGAAAGAGCCCAAGAGGGGCCAATAATAGAAAATCCGATTCTACGACGGGGTCCGCTGCGCCAAAGACGCTTACCACAGGGAACACCCTAGCGTATCTTGCACCAGCTTCCATCTTAAACTTCGCTGCGGAACTCTATGTGTGATCCTTGTTTCTCATGGCCCAGGGTGGATACAGCCACCTGCGCTAGAGACGTTCACCACGGGGAGCACCACGTCGTATCTTGCACCGGTGTCCATCTTAAGCGTCAATGCGGGAAGCTATTTGTGATCCTTGTTTGTTTCTGAAGACGGCCGCGCAACTGCATGCTTCGGGCCGCTCTTGACAACTCCCCTGCTGATCGTTTCTGGATGGGCTGATGGGGGTTACTTTTTGACCGCGAGCGCAGACGGTACAGCCGCATGCCGTCCGAAGCTACAACTAACAACCGATAACCTAAAGTGCACCGGGGAGGGAGGAAGAGAGAACAAACGGAGGACAGCGGAGAGTAAGACAAGCCGAGACGGGCCGCGCGGCGCTCACAGGGGGGGTGCCATCGGCAGCAGCAGCAGCCCGGGGTGCACGCCAAAATGGCGATAATTGGCTGGCAGTGTGGTGTCCCGTGACCGTGGCGAGGGGCAACCCCGCGAGAGCTAGCGGCCCGCAAGCACCCGCGCCACTCCGGGGGACAGCACGCGGTTGGCTGAGCAGAGCAAGGGCAATGCACCCCACCAGGGGGTCAAGCCTTCAGGTGCGACGAAACCCGTGGGGGTGGCGGCGGAACGAGTGGGCGGCGACTGGCCAGCAGTGTACGCCGCGGGACAAGCACGCCGAAAGCAGACTGAAGGCAATCAGCCGCGCGGCGACGCCAGTGAATAAGCCAGCTGGCATGCAGGCGCTCGACGGACGGGGGTCCGGATCGCCAGGACTGGCAGGGCGACAGAGGCGTCGGTTCCCGCTCGGGAAGCAGAAGGAGACAGCCGGTGGGGCTGCTCTTTTGATCGCGAGCGCAGACGGTACAGCCGCGCGCCGTCCGAAGCTACAGCTAGCAAGCGAAACGTTGGTGGGGCTACGGGAAGCGTCAATAAGTGCTTGGTCGCATGACCACGTGTACCCGTCGCGAGAACGTTCCGAATACAGACCTTCGTGAGGAGAAGGGGGCAACATGGGGCAGACCTGTGAGCTAAGCATGCAAAGCCCACAACTCAAGATAAACTCCACGCGCGTTTTCGAGCTGAATATGTCCGCGGCGGCGAGGAGGGCGAGGCAGGAGGAAGAGGATGAGAAAGGAACAGCCTCATGAGTAGCAGAGAAATGAGGTAAGCATGGAGGGATGAAGTTGTTCGGGAGTCCTGGGGGCTCCCAGACGCTCTGAAGTGTTATGGGCGGCGGCGCAAGAAGCCTCGGAACGTCCTGTGAGGATGAGCCAGAGGGGGAGGAAGAGGCGGAGGTACAAACAAGCAAACGAACACAATAACTCACGCGATATATCTTACTGTGGCTCCCCCCCTGGCTGGCCCGAGAGCGGCAACGGCACGGTGAACCCGTCGCGCAGGGCCTCCCAACGCCACTCCTCTCCAATGTGGCTTCAAATGCTGACGATGCGTTTGCTGATGCTGCGCGCTACCAGGGGGGCTACCACCGTTACCGCCTCCACCGCCGCATCTACAAAAAAACACGACGTGAACTGCTGCTGAATGCTTCCTCTTCTGCTGCTCATACCTCACGCGCTGCGCATGCGCTGGCTCGAGCCCTGCAAACCGTGTGGCCACCACTGCTGTTGATACTACTTCTGCAATTGCTGCTGCTCCTCCTGCTCACTGGTACTCCCTGTCATAGTCACTACACTACGCACTCAACTTCCTACTGCCTGCCATCTCCTACCAACTGTTCGGCATTCCCCACACGCGACACTGCTTATCCACACGGCAACCTCTGTACCATAAATCAGCGACTAGTACTTCGTCGGCGAAGACGACTACGACTGCACCTGCTCCTGCGATGCGCACATATTCCGACCAAATGCCCGCCACCCTGCCACCCATCCAACGTTCGTTCTGCCTAATGTCGGCTGTCTTATACATCATGTTGGCTATCCGCCGCCGCATCCTTGATACCTCCTACTCCCCTCGGGCTAAACTTCGAATACAACGCCTCCGAAGTATCCCAATATGGCATTACAGCTTCATTAGTTTTTCCCTCGCGCGTAGATATCGGGGACAGCACGACCCACACATAATCACACAGACAAACAGACACACAAACACACAGACGCATACACATACACACATACACATACACACCCACACGCATACACATACACACATGCACACATACGTATACACACGCATACACATACGTACAACCATACACGCATACATACGTACACATATGCACGCATACACATAACACATGCACACACACACACACACGCGGAACGAATGCTTCGTACGCGCCAACCGAAACTTATCACACGCGTCGCATGATCGTTGATATTGTGCACACTTCCCAACCGATTGACGGCCTTCCCTTCGCACCTTTGCCATCAAGCGGCCCAAGAAGCGAAACTTCCCGCAAGCGTACTCGGAACCTGGCAATGAGTGAACGCGTGCCGCATGTGTGAAACATGTATAATGACAGATCGCGGCTTTTTTGGGGCAGGGATGAAGCAGCCAGCGGAGCCAATGGGGGAACACAGGGTGGTAGTATAATGACATACTTGTGGGCGTCCAGAAGGAGGTTTGGTGAGGCGGACGAAGAGCAGGACAAGGACAAGGAACGGCGCCAATAAAGGCACCCGAATGATGGTCGCTTCGGTATCACGGCGGGGTCGCTGGGGCTCCGAATCTCGGGCGGAGGAGGAGGAGGAGGAGGACGAGGAGCAGGAGGCGAGGAGGACGGGAGGAGGGCGCACGAGAAGTGGTCCCACGCAAGCCGCGGTGTCTTGCATCAGAGGGCCGCTCGCGAGCTGTTGGCGCTCGATCCAAACGGCCCTCGCGTTGGACCCCGAGGCCAAGCGTTGCCCCTTCGCCCCATCCCCACCCTCCGAACACTGTCACTCTCCGATTGCTGTGTCGTCGTGTGCCACGCCCCCCGAATCTGACAAGTGTTTGTTGCATCCATCGGCCTCGGGGAAAACATAACCACGCAACGCACAGCCTGCATAGGAGCAGTGCGCACTGTGGCATGCATTGAAGATCCCGCCACAAGGTACGTGATCCCATGCTCGCCCAGGCTGGGCGCGCCTCGCCAGAAGGCTCTTCGAGCGGCAGGCCCGCGTGCGCTCGTCTCTCGGCGATCCTTACGATACGCCTTTGTGCTGACTGCGCTGGAAATTCTTTAGCTCACGAGCTGCCGCTTCCTCGGCTTCGTAATCGACCTTTGGGTACAGTCTGCTGGGCGCTGAGCCCGCTCTGCCTCAAACTGGCAGCGACGCTGGATTTCGCGGGCGGGGCGTGTGAGGCGATGGCAATGGGGCGGCTGTGGGATGCCGAGTTCGCTGGAGCTCGACATGCACGTCTCTCAGGTCTCAAAACGAAAGAAAATGCCGGATGGCCTCGGGCGGTGCTACCATTTACTATTATATACTGCTGAGATGAGGCAGGGACAGTACTGGTCGGCCAGCTATGAAGAGGAACGCACGCCACGACTACACTCTTCCTCTTCCCCTTCCTCCTCCTCCTCCTCCTCCTCCTCCTCCTCCTCCTCTTCCTCCTCCTCCTCCTCCTCGCGCCTCCCGCTTGCGCCGGCTCCTCGCGCACCCTCCCGCTGCCCCTCCTGCCTTTTTTTGTTTTTTCTCCCAGTGGCTCTCTCTTGACACCCACCAGTCTATGATCGCAGGGTCTGCTCCGAGGGGCCCAAAACACCATCGACCACCTCCCCCCCGCACCAGTAGAACGGAACCCGAAGGCCAGGACCGCCTTGCTGGCGCAGGGAAGAGGCCCATGTGCCTGGCTGCCCCTAAACCACCACCGCCCGCAGGCTGGTGGGCCGATCCTCCTCCCGACCTCGGACCGAGGGGGGAGGACAAACAAATAACAAACGACTCTTGACCACCAGTCCGCCCCCTCATGAGGCGCGAGACTGAAGAGCCAAGGGCCCGTGATCTTACTACTCCGCGGTCAGGGGATGTCGCCTCGAAAGAGTGTCGCCTCTGCCATGCAAATACTTTACCACAGGGCTTCAGCAACTGACAAGGGGGCCCCGTGCAATATGCCCCCCACCTAAAGCCCAGCACCACAGGCAGGGAAAACCGAATCATTTTGGCAACGTGCAGGGTGTGAGGCCTGGGGCTGTCGACCTGAATTAAGGAGCGCATGAAAAAAAGGGTCGAAGCCGCGCAAGCCCCCCTCTCGGGAACTGGGTGCCGGCGGTAAACCGTTAACCAGGCTACCGCCGGGGACCACGTAGAGCTCCTTACACACATAACAGTGCTGTCAATGCAGACAGTGGGGTTTCGCAAGCCCCCCTCGGGGACTGAGAATCGAAAGCGCGAGCACAATCCAGGCAACGCCAGCGGCACCCTTTCCAGGGCACACGGCAGCTGGGGAGGACCAGCGGCCTCGCGGCCTGGGGGGGGGGGCGCGCTCCAAGTTCCCGACAAGCTCCTGGGCTCTAGGAGACATGTCTAGAATGTGACCCATACCTACAGCTAAGTCAAGCCAGCTACGCAGAGCGCCCTCGTACAGGACCATGTTCTGGGCCATGTCGGGGTGCATTTGAACCCCATCATGTGCACACTCACCAGCTAGATCATTACCGAGCTTTTGAAGACGATCCACTCCCCCAACATCCTCTCGCAGGTAGGATCTAACTTTCTTTAAAGACCAAGGCGAATCTGATCTCGAGTAGGGTACTTTCCAGACTTCGCCCAGCGGGCTTCTGCCACTCGTAGCTGCCCTCGGATCTCGGGGGCCTGGCAAAAGCGCCTGACCAAAATCGACGTGTAACCTGAAAGGCTCGATCTCCTCAGAGTCTTCAAAAAGCTCCAGGGGCTGAAACAAAGCATAGTGCTCGGCAAACGCGGCACTCTGAGGCAGGAGCCCAGGAAGGTTGCCACTGATAGTTTTTTTCCAACACCCCTGAATCATCAATATGGATGACAGCCCACCCTGCACGGGCAACGTGCACATGGGTGGGCGCGTGGCAGCTTCCATCAGAATTCAATTTTTCACCACTCTGAAATCTGAGCTTTTGCGTTTCACCCAACCATCGAAATACCTGACCGGCCCGCCCCACTTCGCGCCCACGATGCCCTCGGGCTGAGCCTTCCACAAACTGGCGCACAGTGGATCATCGGGTCCAGCTTCAACAGCCGACCGAACAACATCAACACACAAGGCCTCGCCCCTCTGGTCGGCGAGGGCATGACAGACAAAACGACAGTGCCATGCAGTGTCCTCGGCTCTTCCCTCTGGGGATCCGCAAAAAAGGGCACGCAGGCGGGATCTCGTGCATCCAATCGTGTAAACGTGTGGCCGTTGCAAACGACCTAAAGAAAGCCAGAAGGGCTCGGCGCAACGCTGCGACGGCCACTTCATGGCCCGATGCGGTCTTCTCGATGGTGAGCGCTTCGTGCAGATAAGATCGGCTATTGGAACTTCTACCGTCTGATAAGGATGGGGGCGCCGGCCCCGCCCCTGGGAAAACTCCGAAGCGTGTTCCGAAGCTCTCCCCAACACAATTCAAACCAAGTCTCGCGCTGATCATCCAAGCCCTTCTGAAGCCTGAGCCGCTCTTGATCACCAGAAAGTCGGACTCCCCTCTCTTTCTCGATCGGCAAGACGAGAGCCTCAAGTCTCCCGGATGCTGGTGCAAGCTGGGGGCTGAGGAGCAGGGCCAATTGGAGGTCCACGGGGGGCTTCTGATACTCCAGGAGCCTCTGGATCACGATGGCGTCTTGACCCTTCTTGAGCCTCAAGGTGACAGGGCGGCGAGGAAGCATGTCAGACTGCATGCCGGCCTTCGCCGACTCGACGCCTGCCGGCAAATTCTTGCTGATCGTGAAGTAGTCGTAGCATCTACCCGGCGTGCTGGAGAGACATGTTTGACTGGGGATCTGGACGACGAGCTGCCCGTTCAACCTGCGCGGCCAGAACCCTTCCCCGAACAGATGAGGCTCTAAATTGTCATCCCCTCCTGAGATATAGGGCACTGGCGATAGCGCCCCCGAGCGCATGGGCCAGCCAGGTTCTGTCCCCCGAGACCGATCCCATCTTTGCAATGCTGAGAATAAACCGAAACCACTCCCAAAAACTTGCTTCTAAAGTAACAGCGGGGGATACGGGCCTCACCAGAGCGGCTTTCTCTAGAGGAGGTTGCCGGGCAACTAGATGACCCTCGGTCAAATTGCACGCCCCCGCGCTTTCGCCGCCTCGTTGGGCGATAACACGCGGGGCCCAGAAACTCTTCCACCCCCGCTTTCGCAGACGCCCCTTGGCCTCTAGCAGAGGTTTACCACGTAGCTTGTGTTCTTGAACAAGTGCAATGTGGCAAGCGCTGAACCAGGAATTGGCGTTCACCGCGTGGGCCACGAGCTGGCCGCCTTTCTCGCGCTCGCACAGAATGTTACCCACCAGTTGTGTCAGCCTCCGACGACGCAACCTCCTCCCGGCCCTCGCCGCGCGGACGCTGCGCGGGAGGGGTCTGGGTGGGCTCCGCTGCCTCAGCCGACCGACGGCCAGCCTAGGAGGCCTGCGATCTCACTGTCGCGGGCCTCAGCGTTTGCCTCCTCGCTCGCAGCGCCTGACGGCTGCCGCCTCGGGAACCTCCCCATCCTCCGCGCGTTCCTCCAAGGGGGGCGGCGGCGGCGGCGGGGCCGGGATGCGCGCCCCCGAGCGAACAGCCCCTGCGGAGGCCGCCATGTGGTCGTTCAGCGCTGCTCTCAACGTCGGGCCGATGTTGGTCGAGAGGTGGGTCAGCCCGCTGAGGTAACCTGATGGGTCATAATTTGATTGCGTTCCACTCGAGGCCGCCATGGCGGCTCCTTTGCCGCCCAGCAACGGTGCAACGAACGGCGTATGGAGGCCTGGCGGGATCATGCACGGGTCGACTGCTGGACGCGTAGGAGCACTGAGCTGGAGGTGCGCCAGCTTCTGCTCGAGCTCCGTCTGGATACCCTTCGCGCTCTGAATGTCCGCTACGATGAGGGCCCTCTGCGCGTCCAGGTCAACCAACGCCTGCCCCTGGTTGTCCACGTAATTGGTGTGGGTCTCGAACCGTTTCTGGGCCCGAATCAGACGGGAATGAATGGTGCGCCTGAAGAAGCTGGCCCTCCGATGTCTCCGGATCTCTCTCCATCCTCATACGCTCCATCAGCGCCCCAGCTGCATCCTGTGCAGCCTTGACATCTTGACGAATCACATTCGGCTCGGCCTTTGCCCCATACCCTTTCATCAAGTCCAGGGTCTGCTGGGGCTGCGCGATCTGCGGGCCGAGTGGTTTCGCCTTGGTAGTGTCTTCAGCCTTGGCCTTGGACTGCTGCGCGGCTGGGGGTCGACCGGGTGCCGACCCTTCCCGGTGCTGGCCGCAGTGCCAACACCTCTAGTGACGCATGTTCACAGACGCGCTGCATCCCGTGCATTGCCACGAGAAATCAGCTGTCGATGAGGGGGCGGCAGGGCCTGGGCCACCTCGCGAGCCAGAGGGGGCCTCAACCTTGGACTTGCCCTTCCCTTTGCTCTTGCCCTTGTCCTTGTCGCCACCTCCGCGACCTCCCATCTCTGCAAGAAGCAAAAGATGTTCAGTATCCTACCCACGGCCCTGCAGTGGCCCAGGTCGGAAGTGTGGGAAAGTGTGGTAAGACAGTTGCGCCACCTCGGGCCGTGACCCTCCCCCGAGGGGGGGAGGACATGGCTTGAAACAGGCTGCGGACCTCCTTCTCTTGCTGCTGCTCCTCCTCCTCCTCCTCCTCCTCCTCCTCCTCCTCCTTCTCCTCAAGTGCCTCCCGTGCCCCTCCCCCCGACGCTCATCCACCGCACCCTCGCGGGCGCACGCGGACATGGGTCAAAGACAGGGGAAGTCTACGCCGCGAAACCTGAGGCCCGAGCCGCCTCGTCTGGCGACGGAGCGTGCCGATCCTCCACGGGAGCGGGACCCGTGGCCGACCCACGCGCCTTACTCTATGTTTGCGTTTCCTCCTGCCTCCTCCCGACCCCCTCCTACACCTCCTGCTGATGCTCATCCTGATGATGTTCCTCATCATGATCCTGCTACGCATGGTCGTCGCCCCCCTCCCCGTCCCCCTCTCCATCTTCATCGCGCATATCCTCATGTTGCTTCTGTTCAACCTGCTGCCCCCGACCCCCTCGGCCTTCGCCTCATCCTCATATTACCCCCACTCCGCGTGCTCCCGACCCCTTCCCCTTCGCCTCACCCTCATGTTACTCCGAATTCGCGTGGTCCTCCTGTTTTTAACTCCTCGCAGTAGTCGTCCTCCTCCACCTCCTTGTCCTGATCCTCCTCTATCTCTTCCTGATTTCCCCTCCTCCCCTCCTCCGCCTGCAACTCTACCTCACGGTTGCCCCTCCTCCTCATCCGCCTCTTCTCAATCTCCTACTATTCCTGCTGGCCCTCCGTCACGTCCTCACCAATTGTTCCCTCCCCACCCCTCTTCCCCTCGTCATTTTCTCATCCTGCTTATTTTTTCTGCCTTCTCCTTCTCATTACTCATCAGCAAAATCCTCCGTGTCGCACCACCGAACGTGTTCCCGCAAACATGACGGCCGCGACGCCCTCTCGCGAACCGAAAACGGCCAATTCCTTAATCGACGTGTCAGGGTAGGAGGTCTATCCACCTCCGATCCTCACAACTCGAAGGACGGCTTGTGGCTTCTTGCAGGACGGAGTTTCGCCCGGGATGGTGGGCCCAAAGGGCGCTCGGGCCTCTCCATGGGGGGCGCTCCGCGCAGTCAGAGAGGCGATATGTCAGTGGGGACCACGTCAGGGCGAGGGAGGGGGCTTGGGGACGGGAGGGTGTGCAGGAGCCGCGTTGATACATCTTTGGATTGCTTTGGTCCTCCTCCTCCCCCTCGTCCGCCTCCTTTTTGACGTCGGCCATACTACAAGCGGGGCTTGCAGCGTTCTTCGTCAACCTCCTCCTTCTCCTCTAAATCACCTTCCCCCTGCCCCCCCCCCCCTTCCACCCTTCTCCCCGCTAGCCGTCGTCGTCGCCTCCTCCTCCCCCTCACCCCCATCTACTTATCGACGTCGTCATCCTCGTCTGCGGTCTGGTGAGCGCTCCCCCTGCTCTGGTGAGCGCTCCCCCTGTTCTGGTGAGCGTCGGGGCCGTTCTGATGAGTGCCCGAGCCCTTCTGATTCTGGTGAGCGCCAGCCGTTCGCGATTCGTCTTTGTCCCCACTGATCGGTATCGTCATCCTCGTCCTCGGCCTCGTCCTCAGCCATCGTGCTCATCCATCTCCTCGTTGCTCTCGTCGGATGCGAACGCCGCAAGCGCGGCTGTGGCTCACCCTCGCCCCCCTGGGGCAGCGGACGCGGGAAGAGGCCGCGGTGCGAGTGCAGGTAGGTCCGGCCCCTGGGGCGGCTCTCCCCGTCAGACCCCGCGTCTGATCTGCGTCCATCCCGCCCTGCTTACGTATCTCCTCTCCTCATGCCCCTCCTCCTCCTCGTCCTCCTCCTCCTCCTCCTCCCTCCTCCTCCTCCTCTCCGCCCCCATCCTCCCACCCCTCCTGTTCATCTCCCGCCGCCGCCTCCTCCTCCTTCTCCTGCTTCTCATCCTCTCTCCTCCCCCTCCGACTGCTCCTGCCGCTCCTGCTACTTCTCTGGCTCCCGGCTCATTATCCTCCTCCTGCCCCTCGTCCTCATGTTTCTTCTTCTCTGCACTCCTCCTCCTCCTCCTGCTCCTTCTCCTCCTCCTCCTCCTCCTGTTGCTTCCTCCTACTCGTCCTCCCACTGCTCCCTGTTATTTTCGCCCTCACCTCTGTCCATCCGAGGAGGGGGAGGGGTAGAGTGGGCGGGAGGAGGAGGATCAGGACGATCAGAATGTGGACACCCAGACCACCTGGGCACAATCTGGGATGTTGAGGCCATCTGGGGCCACCGCTGTGGGCAATCTACGAGCAACCAGTCTAGCCAGTGGCCTCCCAGCATGCGGCCAGTGGACACTCCTTCAAACATGAGATAGCATGCCACCTTGTGGCATCAGTACTGGCTCCAAGTCGGCACGTCTATGACTGCCTCCGTGTAAGATCCACGATTCCTGGCACGGGCTGGACACGTTCAAATGCTGCGACTGCCGTGGCCCCGACCATGTCGTAACACCGGAGAGGCGCCAGGAAGACGGAGGGGAGAAAGAGGACGGGGGTGGCCAAGCTGGGTGCGCTCGCGCCATGTCTGACATCCTGCAGCTCCAACCCATTCCTTCCCATTGCGTCGATTCTTTCTCGATCCGACCCGCGGACGCATGCCATAGCGGACCTGGGACCCAACAACAAACAAAAACATCGGGTTGTGCGAAGTCGGAAAAGGGGAGGTGCGTACTTTGGAGAAGGATCGCGGGGGAGGAGTACACGGGAGCACGCCGGAAGGGACGCAATGCCCCTCTCCCTACGCCTACGCACGATCCTGGACCTCTCCCCGCCACGCGGAGGTGGGCACGGAACGGAGGAAGGGCAGGGGAGGCTGGCTGGGGGTTGGAGCCGGCTGGGCGGCTGAGGTGGCCCAGCACTGGTTCTGGCCAGCAGAAGGGAAGGAGAAAGGGGACCCCTTGACGCCACAGCTGGACACGGCTTGAGAAACTGATCAATTTCGAGTCCAGAAAGGGCCTGGGGACAGATTTTAGGCGGGTTTGCCCTCGTCCCCCCCTCAAAGTGAGTGTTTCGGGAGCCATCCAGTGCAGATCCTCGGCAGCTTCCGAGCTGGGGACGCGGATGCGGTGGGAGGAGCAGAGGCACACTGCTACCACCTGCTGTCACCCTAGAATGGGTGGAAGCACCAGCCCGTGCATGTGACCGTAACCCAGGCGTCGCTATCTACCCAGGGCCTGGCTGCCCGCTGCGAAATCTGTGCGTTGCGAACCTGCCAAATCACTGCCGCTGCCACTGTGCGAGGGGGAGGCGGGCGCCACAGGATGGGAGGGGGAGGAAGGAGCTCATGGACGGAAAACCTATATATATATATATATATATATATTAGATCCACGACCTTGCGGGCTGGGCACCTGAGCCCAAGCCCCCGTGGATACACAGCGTTATTTCGCTGATGCCCCACTCGGAACGTATCCGTGCGACCGCGTGTCCGCGGAATCGCGCCCGGGAGTCCAGACCGCGACGGCGTGAGTATGGATACCTTCGCCGCTCGTGATGGGCAAGATGAGGGTGAGAAGAACCAAGAGGACGCGGAGGAAACAAACAACTTCCTCCGCGTCCTCCTTCCACTTCCTTCTCGGAATCCTCTGTTGCTTGCAGGCGCCATCCAGCAGATCTAGTGCCCGCCCTGCTCATCTCAATCTCCTCCTCCTCCCTCCTCCTCCTCCTCCTCCTCCTCCTCCTCCTCCTCCTCCTCCTCCTCCTCCTCCTCTGGTTCATCCTTTTCATCGTGCCCTTCATGCGTCCTCCTCCTCCTCCTCCTCCTCTTCCTCGCTCCTCCTGCTCCTCCTTCACCTTCTCCTCCTCCTCCACCTTCTCCTTCCCTCCTTCTCCTCCACCTCCTCCTCCTCCTGCTCCTCCTCCTCCTCTTCCTCCTCCTCTGGGTCTTCCTTTTCCTCATGCTCATCATCCCTCCTTGCTCTCTCCCCCCCTGCCCCCCTCCCTCCTTCCAAGACTCCTCCCTCCTCTACCCTCCACCCCTCCGGGCTGCCCTGCTAAACGCAGGAGTAACCCCGGGCAAACGTGACCTCAGGTGCGCGGGGACCCCGAGGGTCGGGCGTGGACTCACCCAGCTAAGCGCAAGCCAGCCCAACCAATGTAGCAAAAACTGTGCTGCAATTTTTAGGGGGGCTTTCCGGAGCCAGCTCGGCCAATATGTGTCAGGCCATCTCCAGCCACTCGAGCGGCACCCAAGCCTAGCTCAGCGGATCGTGCAGGATCCGGTTCTTAATGTGAGCCCCGTCTGCGCTGAACCCCGAGCCCTGCTGGCTGTGTTTTCTCCACGCGCCATCCTCTTCCAAAACCACGAACAACCTATCGAAGACAGCCGTGTGAGTTTGGATTTCCAAGGTCGCGACCATGATTAGCACGGCTAGATTTGCGATGATACAAGATTGGCCACCGATTATACAAGCGGCTTTTACTGCGTATCTTCCCTTGCTGGCGGATGTGGGTCCGCACCCAGACGTCACTCCGGCGAAGGGTCACTCTTACGGTGGGAGTTGGAAAGACAGCGTGCAGCACCGATCTCCAAAAAGCACGCCATCCCTGCGAAGCCGTCCCCTCGCGATGGTCCCTTCTGTGCGCCGCGCGCCCCCTGACGTGGCTCCTTCGGTGCGCGCTGTCCTCAGCGGCGCCACCGTGCACGCTGTCTCTCCAACGCCGACCGCTGCGCGCCGCCGAAGCCCACGGCGACCCGCCACACCCGGAGGGCGCCGCGCCCGGGGTGGCCTGTACTCGGTCACGCTGGCGGGCAGGTGCTCCGTCCACAGGCCGAAGGCGCCGCACAGCGGCGAGGCGGCGCACGGGCCAGGCGCAGCGGTGTCTGGGCGGTCGTCGTCATCGGCATCGTCATCGTCGCCGTCGCCGTCGTTGCGTCGTCGTGGGCGTCGTGGTGAAGGTGGTCGTCAGGGGAGGAGGGGGAGAAACTTGCAGATAGAGGTCAAGGAGGGGGTGGGGGAAGGGGGCGGAGGGGAGGAGGAGGAGGAGGAGGAGGAGGAGGAGGAGGAGGAATAGGAAAGGGGGGAGGGAGGAAGGAGAAGGAGGATCATAACGATAACGAAGAGGAGGAGGAGGGGGAGGGGGAGGAGGAGCAGGAGGAAGAGGAGGAGCATGATGATGAGGAAGGCGAGGACGGGATGGGCAGGAGGTATTGCGGAAGGAGAGGGGGTAGGAGGAAGCGGTGTAGGGGGCGGGGAAGATGAGGAAGAGAAAGTGGACACGGAGAAAGCACGACGGCATTTCTTTTCCCGAGGCGTGCCAAGAAGAGGCGGCATGAAATCCAGATCCCCAGCGACGTCACCGCTCGGACCCCGGAGGCCCCCGGCGCCCGAGACGTCCTCGGAACAAAAACGGCCCGAGTCCCGAAACCATGCAGTGACTCCGAACCTCTACTGACCCACCACGCGGTGAGGCCTCCACACCGTTTCTCGGCGTCGAGCGAGGGGGGGGGAAGTGAGAGGGAGAAGACCTTCTCAGAAGGTTCGCAAGTCCCCCGGCCTTCTCAGAGGTTTCCAATGCCTTCCCCGAAGACAGCAGAAACTTCTCGGCAGGCGCGAGGGCTTCTGAGAAGTCCCGCCGCCTTCTGAGGAGGCCTTCTCCTTCTCAGTTCCCCCCCTCGCTCGCCGCCGAGTTGGGGGGCCCCCCAGTGTCTGCCCTCCCCGCCCCCGTCCTGCCCTCCATCCCTCCTCCTCCAGCTCTCCGTCTCCCCCCCCCCGCCCGTGCCCCTGCTGCCGCTCCTCCTGCGCCTCAGGACTCCGCCCACGACCCCATTGCAGAGGGCCCCAAGGGGTCCCCGGGACGGTCCAAGAGCACCCCGAGAGTCGCCCGAGGTCGCTCCAAGACGCCCAAGATGGCCTCCAGATGGCCCGAGAGGCCTCCAAGACGGCCCAAGACCCAAGAGGGCCCAAGAGACCTCCAAGAGGGCCCCGAGAGGCTAAAATCATTGACTTGCTATGTGGGTGTGTGTGTGTGTGTGTGTGTGTTTCAAAAGGGTTTTAGCGCTCTCGTATTATCGGGATTTCGACGCTCCAATATGGCCCAAGTGGCCCCCAAGATCGCCTTAATATGGCCCTAGAGACCCCAAAACGGTTCCCAGACAGCACACGAGGGCTCCAAGACGCCCTAAGAGGCCCCCAAGACGGCCAAGCAGGCCTCCAAGACGGCCCCTCCCTCTCCTGAGATCCGACGTCACGATAAAATGCAATATCGGAGAAATCACGACTGGAGCCACAGACCCCATCTTCCTGCGGCAATGAGCGGGTTCCCAGAAGAGGTTGCCATCTCTCAGGGGCGCATTGTCTACGTTGGCCGGCCTCTTCCGCATGCGGAGGCGGCCTCGTTTTCCCTCCGCGGGCTTCTGCCGCCCTTCCGCCACCCCTTCCGCCGAGGAATAGATGACAACTCCTTCGATCCTTGAAAGCGAAGAACTTTCTGGGAGGACTTTTTTGGGGCCATCAAAAATACCAATACCGCTGCTCCCCGGACCTCTCCCGGAGAGCCTTCTGACTAGAATTTCGAAGCGAATCCAGCGGTGGCGACGAGGGCCTCCCAGGAGGCCCAAGAAGGAGAGAACGAGGGAAAGGCACACGTCGTTCATTTCTAATCGAGCTCATTTCAAATTGTGCTCGTTTCTGATTCTTCCTGGCCCCCTAGTGGCCAGGAAGAGGCCCAGGATAGCACAATTAGAAATGAAAGGATCTTGGCCCCCCAGAAAATCAAAGAACGTTCGAAGACTTAGAAATGAACAACGTGTATACCTCTGACCATTTGACGAGCCCGACCGATCTGTGAGGGTCCCCGGGCCCGAGAGGCCAGGCGAAGAAGAGGCCGCCCGGCGTGGCAGAGGCTGCGACGCCAGCATCCGCCGAGGCCCCTCGCCCACTTCCGCCTCCTCCTCGGCCCTGGAGGCAGCGCCCCCCTCTCCTCTCTCGGCGGCGAGCGGGGGGGGGGGGGAAGTGAGAAGGAGAAGGCCTCCTCAGACTTCTCAGAAGCCCTCGCGCCTTCCGAGACGTTTTTGTTTCTTCGGGGAAGGCCTAGAGAACTCCTCAGAAGGCAGGGGGGCGTCCGAACCTTCCGGGGAGGCCTGCTCCCCCTCACTTCCCCCCCTCGCTCGACGCCGACTCTCCTGTAACGAGGTGCGACGAAGCCAGGACGAGGCCCAAGACCGGGCAAAGGATGCATCGTGAATCTCTGAGCTCCGGCGGTTCTGGAGAGATCTGAAGTGTGCATCGGGCGCCGCAGACTTCTCAGAAGGCGCACTGGAACGCTCTGAGAGAAGGATTGCAACAAAAAAACCGAAGGATTGCAAAAAAAACCCTGGATTTGCAATCCTTCGTGCAATCCTTCGTGCAATCCTTCGTGCAATCCTTCGTTTTTTTTGCAATCCTTCGTGCAATCCTTCGTCCGGAACGCTCGGGAACGGATTTTTCCTCGCCCTGGCCCCGTCCGACCCTCTCCTGGGATGAGAGCCAGATTCACACTGCGACGCGAAAGTGAGGTGAAAATGTCTCTTCGCCGTCGCCCTCGCACTCCTGTGTTTCAGCGCTGCGCGCCGTTCTGTCTCCGAGTCTACCGGCCCCTGCTTGCCCGGGGGTGCAACGGCGCGAGAGATGACTTGCTGCCCCCCTCCGTGGGGGGTCTGAAATCCTGTCAATGGGGTGGGGCCCGCGGGGCCCCATGGGCAGGGGGGCTGGAGAGGACGAGCTTGTCGACGCACCCTTGGGGCCTGTGGCCTCCGGAGCCTGCACACTCCGTGGCCTCCAGGATGCCCAAGAGGCCATCAACGCTGGCTCAAGCTGGGCTCCAGGACGCCGAGGTCCTCGAAGACGACCACGATGGCCCCAAGACTGCCAAGGAGGCGCCAGCGACGCCCCAAGAGGGCTCCGGGGCGATCCCCGAGAGGGTCCCAAGAAACAAAAATCGTGAATTAATAAAGAACGTTTTTTTGATAGCAGAATACACATTTTTGGTTTTGACAGCGTCCAAGACGGCTATAGAGGCCACAAATATCGCTCCAACACGGTCCCAGAAGCCCCCAAGATTGGCCCCAAGATAGCCGAACAGGGCCCCAAGACGGCCCTAGAGACGCCCAATATGGCCCAGGAGAGCCCCAACTGGGCGCCAAGAGGGGCACAAGAGACGCCACTCGAACTTTCATTCCGAGCCCTCCGCCCCAGGAGAACCCCCCAGACTGCCAGCAGGCGCCCAAGAGAGAGCCCCACGAAGCCCGACGAGGCCCCCAAGAGACCCCAGAGGGTCCCCGAGAGGCCCCAAATAGCCTCGCCCGTGGACTTCATCCCTCTCCTGGGGGTCGGCCGACTGGCGTAAGCCTTCTTTGAACGTCTTCTCGTCTGCAACTCCGCCTGGCTCAAACACTGGCCTGGAGCTCGTGCCTGCGACTTCGGCTCCCCCCTCGGTGCCCCCTCCGCACTGGCGGTCCACCCTGCCTCGAAGACCGTGCCGGCCCCGGGCCGCGTCTCCCGGGTGGGGAGACCGGTGCGGCAGCTCGCGGAACACATCATGGACTCTTCCTGAGGAAGGCTATTGGAAAGTTTTCTGGGGCTTGGGGATGGGTGGCGAGGAAGGTTTTGGGGAAGGTTGTTCAACAAAAACAGTCAAACAAACTTACACACACCTTCCAAAAACCTACCAACTACCTTTCAAAACCTTTTCAAACTTTAGCGAAACCGTCCGATACGTTCAGAAGGTCGTCCGAACAACCTCACAAACAAAACCTTGCATATAAAACTTTCAACACCGTCCAAGACACCTTCCAAAACTGTCCAGCAACCTTCCGAAACTACCTTTAGCAACAAAAACACCCAACAACTTTCTTCATGACAATTTTTGGACGGGCACCCCACAAACCGATCAGCAACCTTCCAGGGGAAGGTGTTTGAAAGGTTATTGAAATGATATTTGGAAGTTGGAAGAAGCCCTCCAAAAACCTTCCTCCATAATGTGTTTGGAAGGATTTTTTGAGGAAGCCCTCCAGAAACCTTCCTGAGGAACGTTTCCTAAGGTTTTTGGAAGAAATCTTGTTTGGAAGGTTTCTGCGAAAGGCAACCCTCCAAGAACATGCTTTTGGATGGTTTTCTTGCGGAATTTGCTTGGAGGGTTTTGTAACGGAAGCCCTCCAAAAACCTTCCTCGTGAAAGTTGCTGGAAGGTTTTTGAACGACACCGTCCAAAAACCTTCCTCAGTGATTGGTAAGTTTTTTGGAGGGAAACGCCGAACAAAACTCCCTGAGGAAGGTTTTTGGAAGGCTATTGGGAGCAATTTTCAAAGCATCTTCCACAAGGAACTGTTTGGTAGGTGGTTGGAAAAAACCTTCAACAAACCTTCCTCCGGAAAGTTTTTGCACGTTTTGTTCCACAGAACAGTGTGGGCCGTACCTCCTCCTTCTTACTCCAGCCTCCCTCCTCCCTCATCCCCGCCTCCTTCCCTCCCCTCACCCCCCTCTCTTTCCTGTTTAGTCGTTCTCTCCCTCGTCGAGACCTCGCGGGCCCTGCAAGGCTGCGAACCGCGCAAGTGTCGCGATGTTCGTGGGCTCTTGGGAGGTCCAGCGGAGTGCAGGTCCACGCGGATCTGCCGAGACCTCGCGGCTCGCGACTCCCCGCGGGGTTGCGAACCGCGCAAGCGTCGCCATGTTCGTGGGCTCCTGGGAGGTCCAGCGGAGTGCAAGTCCACGCAAATCTGCCGAGACCTCGCGGTTCCCTGCGGGGTTGCGAACCGCGCAACTGTCGACACTTTCGTGGGCTCCAAGGAGGTCCAACGGAGTTGGGGTCCACGTGAACCTTCCGAGACCTCGCGGCTCCCTGCGGGGTTGCGAACCGCGCAACTGTCGCCATGTTCGTGGGCTCCTGGGAGGTCCAGCGGAAGGCAGGTCCACGCAAATCTGCCGAGACCTCGCGCAACTGTCGCCACTTTCGTGGGCTCCCGGGAGGTCCAGCGGAGTGGAAGTCCACGCGGATCTGCCGAGACCTCGCGGCTCCCTGCGGGGTTGCGAGCCGCGCAACTGTCGCCACTTTCGTGGGCTCCTGGGAGGTCCAGCGGAATAGAAATCCACACAGATCTGCCGAGATCTCACGGCTCCCTGCGGGGTTGCGAACCGCGCAACCGTCACCACTTTCGTGGGCTCCAAGGAGGTCCAGGGGAATGGAAATCCACGCAGATCTGCCGAGACCTCGCGGCTCCTTTCGGGGTTGCGAGCAGCGCAAATGTTGCCATTTTCGTGGGCTCCTGCGAGGTCCAACGGAGTGGAAGTCCACATGCACCTGCCGAGACCTCGCAGCTCCCCGCGGCGTTGCGAACCGCACAGATGTCGCCAAGTTCGTGAGTTCCTGGGAGGTCCAGGGGAGAGAAGGTCCACGTGGACCTGCCGAAACCTCGCGGCTCCCTGCGGGGCTGCGACCCGTACAACTGTCGCCACTTTCGTGGGCTCCTGGAAGTCCAACGGATTGGAGGTCCGCGTGGACCCAGCCGAGACCTCGCGGGCCCTGGGGGCTGTGAAATGCGCAATTGACCTCAATTTCGTGGGCTCCTGAGAGGTCCAGCGATCCACGCGGGCCAAGCCTAGACCTTGTGGCTCCCTGGGGGCTGCAAATACGTGTCTTTCATCATGTTCGTTTGTGTTGGGCTGTCCTGAATATAGCTGCCCCGTGTTCAAAAAAGGGTTGGGTACGTCCCCGGGTAAATTGAGGCACATCCTCCACAAAAAGGCTGTTGGCAAGTTTTTGGAAGAAACCGTCAACAACCTTCCTTAGGAGGGTTTTTGCCTAGTTTTTTAGAGGAAGCCCTCCAACATTCCTGGAAGGTTGTTGGACGAACCCTCCGACAACTTTCCTGATAAGGGTTCTTGGACGGTCTTTTTGGAGGGGGCCATCGAAAACACCTTCCAGAGGAAGGTTTTTAGAAGGTTGCTGTTGAGTATTGGGTGTTGTGTTGAAGGCGTACGTAGGCTGTTGAGAACTGGGTTTTGTGTTGGAGACGGAGGCTGTTGAGTACCAAATGTTGTGTTGGAGACGATTGGAGACGGAGGCTGTTGAGTATCCGGTGTTGTGTTGAATGCGGAAGCACGGCGGGCGGGCGACGGGGGGCGGGCGGCGGGCGGGCGGCGGGCGGGCGGCGGGCGGCGAGCGGGCGGGCGGGCGGGCGGCTGCGGGCGGGAGGATCGGGATATTAATAGAACCCCTGAGGATCATTTTCTCGTGCACTGGGTGTTGTGTTGGAAACGGAGGCTGTTGAGTACTGGGATTTGCGTTGCAGACGGACGCTGTTGAGTACTGGGTGTTGCGTTGAACGCGGAAGCACGGCGGGCGGGCGGCGGGCGACGTATGCCGTTGAGTACGGGGTGTTGTGCTGAACACGGAAGCACGGCGGGCAGGCGGCGGGGGGCGGGCTGCGGGCGGGCGGCTGGCGTGCGGGCGGGCGGCGCGCGGGCAGATCGAGATGTTACTTGAACTCCTGAGGATTCTTTCTTTCAGAAAGGTGCTGTCCAATATGGGGTGCTGTGTTGGAGACGGAGGCTGCTGAGTACCTTGTGTTGCGTTGGAGACGGATGCTGTTGACTTCTGGGTGTTGTGTTGAACACGGGAGCACGGCGAGCAGGCGGGGGGCGGCGGACGGCGAGCCGTCGGCGGGCGGGCGGTTCGGGATGCCATAGACCTTCGAAATGCTCTTTCTTGAAGCAGGGAGCTACGGAGTAGTGCGTGTTGGAGATGGGCGCTGTTGAGTACTGGGTGTTGAGTGGAACGCGGAAGCACGGCGAACAGGCGGCGGGGGGGCGGGCGGTGGGCGGGCGGGTGGCTGGCGGGCGGCGGGCGAAACCTTCCGAAACCCTTCCTCCGGAAGGTTCTGAAAGGTTTTGAAAAGGAGCCCCTCCAAAAACCCTCCTCTGGAAAGCTTTGGAAGGGTTTTTGTTAGGAAGCCCTCCAAAAACCTCCCAGACGAAGGTTTTTAGACAGTTTCTAAAAGGTTTTCCCGGCTCGGGGGGGAGGGCGAAGAAGAAGGTTGTTGGAAGGTTGCTGCGAAAACCTTCAGAAAAAAAGCTTGAAACTATCTCCCAACAAACCTTCCAGTCAACCTGACAAAAAGCTTCCGAATACGTGCCCAAACAACCTTTCAACAACCATTTACAAACCTCCCAAAAGACCTTCCAACAGAAAACGTGCAACAACCTTCAGCAGGAAGGTTTTTGGAAGGGTTCCCCCCAACACCTTCCAAACAACCTCCCCCCGGACGGTGTTTTGGAAGGTTGGTTGGAATGTTTTTGGTAGGTCGTTGGAGGCTTGTCGGGAGGGTTTGGGATGTTTTGTTTGGAAGGTTTGTTTGTAAGGTTTTTGGAAGGTCTTCTGAATGTATTGGACGGTCTAGCTAAAGTTTGAAAAGCTTATTGGAAGGTTGCTGGAAGGTTAGTTAAAAAGGTTTTCGGAAGGTTGTTGGAAGGTGTTTGGAAGGTTGTTGGAAGGTTGTTGGACGGTTATTGGAACACACCCTCCAACAAACCTTCCTCAAGAAGGTTGCTAGACTGTTGTTTTTGAATGGTGTTTTGGAAGGTTATCGACGAATTGTCTGAGTGCGTTGGGCGCTCCCGCTACATGTTGAGTTTTGGCAGGTGTTTTGGAAGGATTGTGTGAGATGTTTGGTCTGTTGTTGGAAGGTGTCTGTAAGGCTTGTTGAAGAAGCCATCCAACAACCTGCAGGAAGGCCTTTGGAAGGTCTTTTGGAACAATCCCTCCAAAAACTTCCCGGAGAAAATTCTTGGAAGGCTTCAGGGGGGGGGGGGCCGGAGTGCCGCACCCAACTGCTGGTGGGCGATCGGAAGCGACGACAGGGGCGATTAGCCCAGGAGGGAACAATGCCTGTCTGCCATCGCTCGGACGCCCATTTCCCGTGCCTTCTTCGGCCTCACGCGCTTGTTTGTCTGAAGGTAACCAGGGTGACACGTCCGAGCGGCGATGCCGGGCCCGAATCCAGGAGCGCCGATGGTTCGTGCCTTCGGCGAGGCTCCCCGGCGAAAGGCCCGCCCGTGGGCTCCTCGGCTCTTCTCTATCGTCGCCGCCTGGGCGAGCCGAGCCCGGGCGAGCCCCGCCGGGCGATGGGCGCGCCGCGCCTCCGTCGGCCACGGCGAGGAGCTCGGAGGCCACAGTGGTGTAGAAGCTCTGGGTGACGCCTGGGCCACCCCCCACAGGGCCCCTTCGCGCCGTGGCACAATGACCGCGGCCCTCAGATGTGGCGCCTGAGACTTCTTGAGCTGGGCGTTTTCGCCGGGTGTCGGGCCCTGGGGCCATCACGTGTCGCTCGTACTTGCAGCACGGAGCAGAAACATGGGTCAAGGGCTCTGGTCGTGACTTCTTTCTGTGTTGTGTTTTTTTCGCGACGTCGGATTTCACGGGGACCGGAGGGTTTCGGCCATATCTTCTGCTTCTGGGGGCCTTCGCCGGGCCCCAGGGCCGTCAGAAAATTAAGCATGATGAAAGGCCACCCAGATCATTGGATGACGATGTCTTTCGGTCGCGATCGGTAGCGACCGATCGGCACTCCAAATCGGCTGCGATCGATCGCGACCGATCCCAAAATCGGTCGCGACCGGTCGCCACCGATCGCGATCGATCGGTCGCGACAGACCGGTCGCCACCGATTTCGGAACGAATCGGTCGCGACCGATGCCGAAATTTGAAGCAACATCGGTGGCGACCGATCACGTCGGTCGCGATTGGACAACTCCAGTCCCCGATGATGAGGGAGCGGCCAGTCCCGGGGAATGGGTCGAGACCTCTGGGGAGGTCCGCGTCGTGAAGAGATCATGGCGTCGGGGGTCGGAGGGCCCATCCGCCCGGCGGCTCGGGGGGATCGGGCTGGATGGTTTCGCCGTTTAGATTTCACATGCGTGCTTGAAATATGTTGGCGTCTTCACCCTTCCCATGCTGTCTTCAGCTCAAGACGGGCCTGAACTCTAAGATGTTCCCTAAGACGGCTTTAGCTTCAACATGGTCCACTCGGTCTTCCAAAACGGCCTCAGGACTGCACAATGGGACCCAAAAAGGAGACCCAACCAGACAGGTGCGAAAAATCCCTTTGATGGCACATGTGTGATGTTTACTCATGCGGCGCCAGAACCATTGCGTGACCATCGTGGAACCAAGGAGGACCCGGTGAACTCATGCGTAATCGTCAAACTTGTAGCGTTATGGCAATCATGGAACCCTGTGAATGCAGATGGCGAACTTCCAGAACCCTCAACCCAAACACCTTGCCATCTTTTGGGAAGCCGACTTTCACTTCCGCCAGGCTCCGCCACCGTCCGCCAACTCCCGCCGGCTGAGACGTCCTCGCTTCACTTCCACCACCAAGCGCACTACCCCCAATGATCCTTCGTCGCGAGAAGTCTCGTGCGGGGCTCTAAACTACCTTGTGGACGGCGCTGGTATAGGCACTATGCTAAACCAAAGCCCGACGAAGAGCGAGCAAAGGCAGGTGGGTATCCTCCAGCTTCCGCCGACCTTCCGCCGACCCCCGCCGAGAAAGAGATGGCAACGCCTTCGATCCCTGAAGGCACGGCCCTCTCTGGAACGCCTCATGTGCATACATTGCCTGCCCTGCGCTGGGCCAAGCTGCCAACCACTGCCCACGGCGACCCACCCCACCCGCAGCCGCGCGCGAAAGGGGGGAGGGAAGGGGGGGGGGGAGGGGGGGGCAGGAAGGCGGCGACACACGCCTCTGGACCACAGTTCGACGTCTGAACGGACGGGGGCATGAAGAGGAAAACGATGAGGAGGATGCGGAGAGGGAGGCGCAAGAGCGATTGGGGAGGGTAGACATCAAAAACCACCCCCATAACAACCACCCCGACAACCGAAGTTGCTTAGTAAACGCACCCAAAAAAGGAATCCAGCAAGGCAGGGCTGTTTAGTAAACGCCCAGGGCCGCTAGCGAACGCCAGGAGTCGGGGTCTGGGTGGCTTTTCCCCTCTTGGAGGGGGAGGAACCCCGCCGCCGCCGAGCCCCGTTGGCCCCTGCGCCCCCTCCGTCGCCGAAGCCGCCCTCGTCTGCGAACTGGACCTCCAGGGTGGCCTGCAACGGCATCGCGCGGGCCGTGCCCTCGCACCCCCCCCCGAAGCGTGAGGACGAGGAGGAGAAAATTGGGGAGGAACGAAAGAGTACAGACGAGGGAGATGAGGAGGCCCCCTCCGCGAGGCGTGAGGACGAGGCCTCCTCCCCGTGTGTATGCAGGTTAGCAACCAAAGAGTCGAACCGACACACTTTCCCGTAGGTGGAGGTGGGAAGAGAACACGGTCGCGAGCCCTTTCCCAAGGCAGAAACAGGCACGTGTTCAGAGACAAAAACGATCGTGTGGCTGTAGCCCGGCAGCGGAAGCGCGCGAAAGCGTTGTCAGGAGACGTTTCTCTGGCGCCGCCGCTGCGGGCGTTTCCACCGGCGAAGGTAGGAGAAGAAGATTGAGGCGAGGCGAATCCAGCGTGACTCCGAGGCAAACTGCTGGTGTTTCCAACGGCGCATGGGCACAATCAAAGGCGGCGCCAGGAAACGTGTTGGACGAATCAGGCGCCGGAGCTTGATGTGAGGTCCCAGGCGTGTGAGTGGATGCGTGCTGCCGTCGCCTAAAAAGCTGAAAAGGGGTAACGGGAACGTGGTATCACGGATTCTCTCGCCCTCTCCGTGTGGTTGCTGCGCCCACGCTCCGTCGAAGACCTGCACGCATAAAGGCACTGTTCCCCGAAGGGTGCAGGACCAAGCGGCTGAGTCAAAGACGAAGCGGGGCGCGGCAACGAAGAACGTAAAATAATAAGCCGCTAACCTGCGTATGTAGGCGCACGACAAAAGAGTCGAAGCTAGACAATATTCCGTAGGTAGAGGTAGGAAAGGAACTGGGTCGCGAGACCTTTTCCAGGACGCTGTGATGGAGGCAGCGCGGTATGTTACACCAATACCTGAGCCGATACGTCAGCGGTATATACATGTATAATGGTGATATGAGCGGACTTCACACACACACACCCCGAGGCGTGAGGACGAGGGAGATGAGGAGGAACGAAGGAGTCAGGACGAGGAGGGCAAAGGCTCGTGGTTCAGGGGCCCGTCCAGGGGCGAGGAATTGGCTTACGCTATGGCACGAGGCTTGACTGAGCAGGATCGAGCTCGAGGCTATGATAGCTTAACCTGCCTGCGAGCAGAAAGGAGGCGACACGATCTGCGGCCATTGCATATACGTATGAGGGCGGACCAGAAGGGAGCAGGAAAGACACAGAGGGGAGAAGGCGGGATTGAGGAGAACAGGAGGAGCGCTCGAGGCGATGGGGGAGGGGGAGGGAGGTGAGCAAGGAAGACGGGGTCCTCCCGCTTTTCCTCTCACTCGCCCTCCCCCGACGAGGAAGAGAAAGAGAGAAAGACGATAACGACGACCGCGACGGCGACCCCTGGAAAACAACCGTGTCTCGTGGCCGATGGATGGCCGACCGTGAGACCTCGGCAGGGCAAGGAAATCGGCATGGCATGGCCTGGGCCTCGGGAGCGGGCTGCACCCAATGGCGACTCGTACAAACAAGCCGCGCCGGAGGTCACTCGAATTTTCGGCGTCCAAGGCGGCCCCGAATCGTGAAAAAACAGTCCGGGCTGAACCAAGCTAAAACGATCCCATTTACAGGTGACCTCTTGCTGAACACCTGCATGTGCAATGTAATGCGAAATGAGATGATATGTATTGAACGACCACTTGCACGAATTCAAGCACGATTCTGAATATTACGGCATACAAGCGTGCACAATAGCAACTGCTGGCGCGTCCTGCAAACAGTAACTCTGGCAAACAGAGATATGTATACTTATATATATTTATACAGAAACAGAGATCCGGGGTTCCGTATATATATATATATATAAACATACATACATACATACATACATGCATACAACCATACATACATACATACATACATACATACATACATACATACATACATATATACATATATAAGTTTATGGTTACTACGGTATGGCGTATGTTTGCTATCTAGAGTCTACAGGAAATCCATGCGTAGCGTTGGTCAGCCGTCCATGGCTGAGCAGAGCATTGTGTCTCATGGTGTGGCACAGCAGACCAGATCACATCGCAACACTGCGTTGCACAGCATGTCGCAGCAACCTACTGTAGTGTCCCATGGCATAGCGTGACATAGGAAGGCATTGTACGGGGAAGCCAGAAGGTACCGATACTGCTACTCCCTGGACCTCTCCTGGGTTGTGTCCTGACCAGAATTCTGAAGCGAATCCAGCGGTGGCGACGAAGGCCGCCCAGGATTGCGAAACATGGAACACGAGGCAAGGGTCGCTGTATAGGTACCTTTTTTCCTGCTCTGAGCTTCATGACATCGCGTAATGTAGCAACGCATTGTGCATCAAAGTACGGCGTATCACGTCACCCCGCTGCGTTGCACGATCAGAAGTTGTAAAGACATGTCGGGCAAATCGCCAGCCCCGCCCAAGCGACACGTTTTGTGCCACCACTAGGGTCGCATAACAAGAAACGACGGGGCAATTCTGGCCACAGCGGGCCTCGGCCACAAACGGCTCCACGATATGAGTCTCAGGAACGGCCCGAAAACCCGAGCCCATCATGAACCCACATCGGCCCTTACTCAAGTGCCTTGACTGTAGCAAGGCGTTGTGCAGCAAAATATGGCGTATCACGTCACCCCCTTTGCATTGCACTTTGCAGCGAGCCGAGCCGCAGGATCATGAGTTGCAAAGTCGCTTCGGACAAAGAGCCTGCCCCGCCCAACCGACACGTCTTGTGGCGCGACCAGAGATTAGCCAAAGGAAAACATGGCTCGCTCGCTCGCTATCTGCGCATGGCCAGGTCTCGAATCACCCGAAAGGGCGGTGGCCGCAGATCTTGGGGAGGCGTTCTGCTCCCGCAGTTGTCAAAACTATAGGGAGCCCTTCCTCCAGCAATCAGCATGGGGACCCCCCGATTGCAACACAGGGTCGAGAGGCGTGTACATGCGAAATACAGCACCCTCCTGGATACGCTGAGGATCAAGTCGAGGAGGCAAGAAAGACACAGTGGCAGCTACGGGCGGTGGCGGCGGAGGACAAAAAAATAGGAAGAGGAGGAGAAATGCGCAGACACAGAAAGGGGACGGCACGAAGGAGGATGAGGGGGTGGAAGAAAAGGTGGAGGACGACGAGTAGGAGAAGGTCGAGGTCGGAGGACGTGGAGGAACACGAGAACGAGGCGGAGGAAGGAGAAGGACGTGGAGGAGGATGAGAAGGGAGGGGGGCGAGGGGGAGAGCAGGAGAATTGAGCGAGGAGGCGCGGGAGGAAGTATCAAGCGCCTCCAAATGTGCCTGGAAGTCCTCGCAAGTTTCGAAAGGCTTCCGGAAACGCCCCACATTTGAGAAATCATCAGAACACCTCGGCCCACGAACCTGGCGGATCGAGATGGAGGTGCAGCAGCCAGCCTTGCTGGTGTACGTGAGCTCGACCACGCGCTGTGCGTCGCGGAGGAGGTCACGGCCGCGTGTGGGCAGGGTGACCTGGGCACCGGTCAAGATGCTCACAGCATGAGCACCGTTCGGTCCCCTGCGGCCTCCTCCTCCTCCTCCGCCTCCTGCTCCTGCTCCAAGAGCAGTCCCCTCCTGCTCCCACTCCACTTCCTCATTTTCCTGTTCCTGCTTTTCCTCCCTTTCTATGATCTGATTCTTTCCTGGTCGCGCTCGCATCGGACAAGAACAGCAAACGAAACGTAGTATCCCTGGGGCAATCCAAGCACGTAGCCGGCGTACGTTGGAAGAAATGCCCGCGCGTAAGGAGGAGGATATGAGGAGGGGGAGCAGGGGGGAGGGTAATGGTGTTGAGCGGGCGCCCCCATGGCCCAACCGACCATTTCTATAAAAAGCCTTGCCCGACTGCCGTCAAATAGCCACAAGTACTCACCAGTTCAAATCCCAAGCGGCGTCGCAAGTGAAAGAAACATGCGCTGACTTCGATCGCGCCGAAGTCGACAGAAGGGGGAGGTCAAAGATGGGGGTGCCGAAACAAAGCAAATCCGCCAAGACGCGTCGTCGCGAGAAGCACTGGTGAAACACCCTGCCCCTCTCGAAGGCGCTATAAAAAAAAACACGAGCACGACAAGCTACAAGTCGTGACGCGGGAGTGGGGCGAGGACGGAGGGGGGTAACAAGGAGAGTAGGAGGAGTAGGAGTAGGAGGAGTAGGAGGAGCCCGCGCCTCGAGAGCACCCCGTCATCCACGCCAAGCGCCGCGGGCGGCGGGGCCACTCAGGGGCAGGCCATCCGCGACAGGTACCTCGCATGCGCCGTCGTGAAAGCCGCCGCCCACGAAGACTGCGACGGCGACGGCGGAGCCGTCGGTGTGGGCGGAAGCGTCGACGAGCCCCGAAGCGACCACGGGAGGAGGCATGCCGCCGCTTGGCCCCACGTGCGGCAGAGCGGGGACAGCAGGCTGGCGCAGAGGGGCGGTCGCCAGGGGCCTCCGTGAGCGAGTCGATCGCCTCATCATCAGCTGCATCAGCCAGTAGGTAGGTCGGGCCTGTCCCCATACAGGGGGATGTTGGGCGAAAAGTTAAAAATGTGCCAGCAAATATTCGAAAGATGCCCAAACATACTCAACAAATAGTCCCCAGACTATTTGTTTGACTACTTTTGAATATTCCCCCTGTAGAGGGACAGGCCCGATTTAACAGTAGGACCCATCACACCAGCACGGAGCATGGCCAGGTCTGGGTGCACCAGCTTGATGAACGGATGGGGAATCCTGCGCCGCCACGGCTGCTCCAGCCACCAGGCCTCCACGAAGAAGAAAGAAAACATCAATGGTTATCAACACAGGTCATATCATCGTGTCCGTCAAACTGCGGTGCACTATCATTGTATACCGTCATCTCCATCTCCGTGCCTCTCTCTCTCTCGCCGATGTGATCGTGGAGGCCAGGGTGGCGTTCGCGGCGTCCTGGAGGTTGAGCGTGGCCTGACGAGGCAGCCACGACAATGACTTCACCTGCTTGGGCCTGATGCGTGGGAGACGGTAGATCGGCGCCGACTGCTGCGTGGGCAAGAACGTCGTCCCAAAGAAGGGGCTCGGAGAAGGCGGTGCCCTCCGACTCCAGAATCGGACACAAGGGCCTACCGTCGGCGATACCAGTAAGCCCACTTTTCACGTCAGGACACGGTGAACCTTCTTTCGGGGAGACGTAAGACCCGGTTACGGGGGACTCGGAAATCCCCAACGAGGTCGTCAAAAAAATGACGAGGCCGAGCCTGCATTTTGACGAGGCCTCCCGCTGCAGACATCCCACGAGACTCCTCCTCGTCAAAATCCGAGGCGCGGTCGTCAAAAAACGATGGCGAACCCGAGTCCTGGCAAACCCGGGTCTTACGCTCCCCGGACACGGTGAACCTTCTTGCGCGCACTCTAACACGTCAGTGCTGATCTGCGCGGGGGCGGTCGCGGCGACGGGCCGAGGGGGGGGCAGGGTCGGAGGAGCTGCTGGCAGACCGAGCGGAAGCGACCCACACGGGACACGGGAGGGTCGCGTCGGACGCTTGCTGGAACCCCGGGGCGCGCCGCAGGGGAGGCGTGGCTGTAACGAGCCGGGGAGGCGCTGAGCCGGTAGAGCTGCCAGCAGACCGCTACGAGACGGCGTGCAGAGCCGCCGCCGTCGTGCCCACACGTGAGGCCGAATTTTGCATACGTGGTCCTCGAACGACAGCGGCCGTGGCTGCCCCGAGGAGCTGGCGGCTGCCAATTTGAGCAGGGACCGACCGTCCCGGCATTCCTATAGTCCTACCACGAAATGTTCTTCGAACCCAAAATGTTCTAATAACAAAAACAATTTTCTCATAACAGAAACCCGATGTGTTAAAACACAACAGTATCAACCATACATGTTCTAAGAACATGTCGTGGAAACCGCAAACGGTTCTTGGAACAATCTGTGGTAGGGCTATAGGCGAGCCAAGACGCTTCGCCACTGCTTGACCAATTCTGCCGTGGCATGGGTGTCTGCCTCTGTGGGGAGAAGGGGACCGCGGAGTGCCCGGCCCGCGTCGGCGGCGGAGCGGGGGCCCGAGCGGAGGCCGGGAAAATGGCGCGCTTGAACAACGCTCTTGGGCTCCGCATCCATGTCTCCCGCGCTGTGCGAGGCATCATCAAGTCACGGGTGGAACACGGGGGGCGCATCAGAAGGTCGCGGCAACGCAGGGACCGAACGACCGTTACAGTCTGACTTCATTCGACAGGACACGCGAGAGGACACAAGACCCCTCCGAGGGCCACGTTGCCGTAGGAATGCAAGAGGCACGGGTCGCGAGGCACAGCACACGAGGGTACCTTTGAGCTGGCAGGGTCGACCTACTAATCGGGGCCGACTGTATTGGGCTCCGAATCCATGTCTCCCGCGCTGTGCGGGGCATCATCAGATCATGGGTTGAACGCGGGGGGCGCATCAGAAGGTCGAGGCAAAGCAGGGGCCGCTCCAAATCTGTCGACGCCGCTCGCGAAGGTCAGGGCCCCGTAAACCGGGACATCCGACATCTCTCGAGATCACATTTTCCAGGTGGCGGCGCGAACAAAACAACTGCACTGCACCACTCCCGAAATAAACCAAATTATGGGCCGTGGAAGACTACGCCCCCCTCCCCCAGACAGACCCGGACAACAACCCGAATCCTGCGGCGTAGCAAAAACACAATTGCTCTGGGCGACCAATGGTGACTTTGCAGAAAAAGTTGTCGTTTCCCCGACTTGCCAAGGACCTGGTTAATCTGTGTCCTGGTCTCCCGGGGCCTGGAAAGGTCGAACGGCGCCCTGGCCAGATCATGCTTGGAACGTCGCGACGTGGCAGAGGGCACTCATTCGTGAAAGACTAAACGCTGCAGGATCCTTATTCGAGAGTTCCGCAAGTAGATGCCTCCGAACTTACTCGCGGTCGATCGCCGAGGCGTGCCAGGTCTCAAGGCGGATCTCTTCGGCAACGCGCCGCCTCCGATCATCTCATCTCCCGATGGTCACCAGAGGGGTGAACTGTAGGATTTGAGCCACGTGTAGAAATTGGGAACCTGCTTGGCGCAGTAAACCACATGGATCCACGCGTTTGCCCAACCAGTAGCACGCTCAGTGAGCTCGAGACGGGGGCGCTCTGCCCTCAGAGCGTGACCGCCCTCGCCAACATCCCCAACCGATTTGGCATACGCGCAAGAGAAACCTTTGCTCGTACAACTGAGAATCGAGCGGGACGACACTGAGATCTGGCTGCTCTATCCGAGTCCGAACCCGACCTGGGCCATCTCGCCAGCTGGCAGACGCATTGCAGCGTCTGTTCTTCGGATACCTGATGTGCCGGTAAAGCCGGGATTGTCGGACGGGCCAGGCTGGCAGTGGGAGGCTGCAACCTGCTGTGCGCAGTGCGGGGAGAACTCGGAATGGGAAACCTGGTCGAATGAGGCGCGACCTTGAACTCCGCGTGCGTTCGCCGTCCCAAGAAAGCCCGGTGGCGTAGGTCCGCTGCTCTATGCCAATAGGCTGGGGAAAACCCGACATGGTCTCCATGGGCTTCCTTCGCGCGGTGATTGTTCGCGCCCAGACAATCTCGCAGATTTACCGAGCCCTGAGCCGGAAAAAAAAGCGCGTCCTCACAGGAGCTATGACCGTCCTCGGGTGGGGCACGATGAGGTGGGGAATGCCAAGCAGCATGACCATGCGCGGACACACCAATCAACCCAGAAACCGATATCCTGTCAAACCCCACCCTCCGCCATGAAAAAAACATTGTTCTGCATAGCCTTCGAAAACATTAATAGCGCTCCAAACATCACAATTAACCCGCAGAAAAAAAAGGACGCGCGGCAAGGATGCAAGGGCATGGGAGGGACACGTTTGCGTTGTTCGAACGAGGTTGGCTAGCGCAAGAGTCGTTAAGGATGGGCCGAAGGAGCAAGGATGCAAGAGTAGCCTTGGGAAAATGGTCAATCCTTGCTATGTGGGTTGACTGTGCGGGCAACATGGGAACGATGCCCAGAAACAAATGGCGCCCCAAACCGACAGCGGCCGCTGTTGGGCAGGCGGTTTCTTGGCACCGTTCGGACGTCCAACCCCGTGAACTTTTCGACGTCGTGTGTGTTTTTCTCGCGCAAGATGATCCAGGATGCTCCTCGATGGTCCTCGCCGACAGACAATCTTCGCAAGGGCTGAATAGGATCGCTCACGAGAGCAACGTGGAGACAAGGCGGAAAGAATGCAGTGGCAAAAAGAAAATGCAGGGACAGGGGGCGAAATCATGAAGAAACGGAGTGCGAGCACTAAGTGTGCGTGCGTGCGTGTGGAGATGGGGGTGGACCATTGGAACCCACTGCCAATCCCATGCAGGTTTTTGGCAGCCAAGAGGAGGGCAACTCCCGATAAACACAGGCCCCGTGCGGGACCCATGATGCGGGGCGCCTCCTTGAAGCTGCCACTCCTAGGGGGCCGCAGCGCGGTGAGTCGCGCTACACGCTGCAGATGCCCCAGATGGCAACCGGCACGGCATCAGACCACGCCGATGCGTGGTCAAGGGATGCCGTGGGGCACCGATGCCCCAGGACCGTAAGTATCTGGAGCGCGCCATGGGATACCGGCCCGCGCGTCGCGGTACTTTCGCCGCGCGCGGCTCGAGGACGCCCTCTTCGACGAAACTGGGCGGTCGGCCCAGGGAAAATTCGCCGAGGCTCGAGCTGGCGGCTACGGGCAACGACGACGATGTGACGGCGACGATGGCGCCGAACACCATGACAATCATTCACAAAGTATGGGCCTCACCTGTCCCGGCAGTGGTGTCGATTTGTTGCAACCACTGGGGCGGGCAGATCGCGCCCCCCCTCTGAGACGAACGATGCTGACAGATGCTCCACGGCCACAGGGGCGCTGTTAACAAAATGCCCACCGTCCTGCGAAGACTCTCAGGCGAATGACGCAGACGAACGCTTCGTGGACAGAGGGGCGCTGCTAACAAAGTGCGCCCCCCTCCTGCGAGGACCCGGCGACCGCAGTGGTGAGGAATAGGTTGCGTCTCAAATGCAACCGCCTATGCCTTTGCGATTTCCCCGCCCCGCGAAGATCACGCAGACAGGCTCAGCCCCCCCTTTCACCGAGTGTCAATCTACCATCTTCGCAGGGGCTAGATAGGATCGCTCACGAGAGCAACGTAGAGACAAGGCGGAGAGAATGCAGCGGCCAAAGGAAAATGCAGGGAATGGGGGCCAACAGAATGAAGAGACGGAACGCGAAGACTAAGTGTACGCGCGTGCATGTGGAGATGGGGGTGGACCATTGGGACCCACTGCCGCCCACCCCATGCGGGCTTTTGGCAGCCAGGAGGAGGGCAAGTACTGATAAACACAGGCCCCGTGCGGGACCTGCGCAGGGACGCTTCCCCCACCCCCCAACGCCGCTCTCACCCCTCCTCGTCGCGTGGCTCTGACCCGCGCCCGACGCCGCCCAGAGAGGCAGTGGAGACGCGCGGGGCCATGGAGGGGCCGACGCGAGGGTCGGCAGCAGACTTTCAACGCGCACGCGCGCGCGCAAGGCAGGTAATCCGCATCCTACCAAGGACGGTTTTCGGCCACGCTCGCAGGACACGGACTTATGCCCAAGGAAGGCGTGCTGAAATTCAAATCCACATATTCCCCTCTCCTCCACCCCGTCCTCTTCACCTCTTCCCCCGCTACCATGCCCACCCCCGCCTCGTCCTCCCCGGCCCCCTCGATGGGCGATCCGGCCACGTGGCGCCGAGACGGCACCGAGGCCCAAAGCCGCGCGTCGGGCGGAGCTGCGCGCCTGTCGACTGGAGGTCCCTGGAGGCGCGCGGAGGTTTTGAGGGGCGGTGGGGCGAGGGAGGCTAAAGAGCTACGGTAGAGAAGGAGGAAGACGTTTGAGATTTCACTTTGGCGGCAACAGATTCACAGGTCATGCAAGCTCGTTGCCCCCCGTCCAGCACCACGGCTGCTGGTGCGTGAGGCGCGAGAACGGGGCAGGCAGCGCGGGCTGGCGAAAACTCTTAAAACCACCAGTGAGCATCGCGCCTGCAGGATTGTCGGCGCTGGGGGGTGTTCGAACCAACGTTTGCAACCCAGAGCCGCTAGCCACGCCGATGCCTGTAGCGCCAAGCGGCACATCGTGGCTGTCGGAGAGCCAGCTTTGACCAGCGACGTGGCAGCAGAGGTGTTGTCCACCCACGAAATGACGTCTCGCGAAAGTGGCAGCCACAAGGGTGCCGCACTGGAGTTCCGCCTGATTGATAGCGGTGTCCTGCGGGTCCCTAATCTCGCGCAGGCTTTGATCCGCATCCAACATGGTGACGAACGTGCAACCATCGGGGATAAGCACCTCGGCGGCAAACCGAAAGCGGTCTGCGTCCGCAACTGCGTCGGTGTAGACGCGCACTGGCGGGGCAGTCGGGCGGACAAGGGAAACACATCTATCAGGTATGCACCGCGCCGCCGCCGCAATATAGCGCAGCGACTCCCATACACTGGAACCCGCAATGACCTCTTCTCCCTGGTCCCACTACTGTCGAGCCGTAAGGGCATGTCCGGCCGCCCTAAGGCAGTGGCCCGCGAGAGCTTATCCATCCACGTTGCCAAACCGCGCGTTTTTTTGCCGCAGTCCCAGAGGAGAGGCGCCCCGACTGGACTGCGGCCATGCACATCTTGACCAGGCGCTCGCGGGTGTGCAATTTCGGGCCCCACGTGGTAATCAGTGCATCACACGTGCGCACGAGATCGTGGAGATGGCCCCAAACATTGAACATGAAAGACGGCGGCCAGTTCTTGCTAGCGGAATATTAAAAACCCCGCTGCGTACTGCAGACCCCTACACGACGTTGGACGCTGACCACCGCAGGCCCGCCAAACAGCTCAATTCCAATGTGGGGCTGTCGTCGGCGTAATGGCCTGTGAGCGTCAGCAAGATTCGGCGATTTAGCGCCGTCACAAACCCAGCGGCGCGGGCTGAGCCCAAGCCGAAGGGTAGCCCGCGACGCTGGGCGTAAAACCGTGTCCTCGTGTCAGGGCACATGACAGCGACTACTGACAACCCCATATGTTCGCTTGTCGGGAAGAGCTGGCGGCAGCATTTCCACCAGTCTTTCTTCGAGGGACACCTTAGGCTTAAACCAAGGCGGAATGCCACCAGACGCTTTGATTCAATGATGGAAGACAGGGCCGTGCACTTCAAGAAGATGATGACGAACTCCGGCGGGACGCAAACCACCGTCTCGAGAGTCGAAGACAACGCGTTTGTGCGGGAGCGTCTTCCGTCATCGCTGGACCGCCATTTTCTGCCTGCCGCACGACATGGCGGACCAACGGGCGCCATCTGCCTTCTCCGTGCAGGTTGTCCATATCGATTTTCGTGCGCATGGGGTCCGCAATGCCGTCGGAGATCTCGGCAAGCGTAAGATCCCAGATGGTACGGGCGTGCTTGGACGGATGGCGAGTAGTCTATACTGCCGCAACACATCCGCAAGCATCGTCTCCAAACACTTCCTCCAAGAACGCACACGTCCGAGCAATGCCAAGGCTTCGTGTCTCGAGAAGACAGTTCCCGAAGCAACACCGACAACGAGCCCTGTCCAACAACAGCCCGGAACAAGTGCCAGTCTTCGTCCCCGCTTCTTTCCTGCCCATCTCGATCGTCCCGATTCTCAGCCGGCTTTGGTGCGCTGGTGTGTGTGGAGCGTCTGGCGCGCGTTTCCCCCTCTCGCGCTGCCCCCCCTCCGGGAGGGGGGGCAGCGCGAGAGCTCGGAGCGCAGTGCATGCGCGTTTCCTGCAAAGACATCGTTTCGGCGTCGGTAGGCAAAATCAGGACAGCCAGTTGTCCCCCAGCGGTTCTCCTCCCCCTCCCCCTCCCCGCGCCCTCTGTCGTGTCGTCTGCTCGGCGTCGTTTTTGTTTTTTGTTTTTGTTTCTCTCTCTCTCTCTCTCTTGCCCCAGGGCCCCCTCCCCGGCCGTTGAAGACGTGCGCGGAGTCCCTGGCCGCCTTCCTCTCCCGCCCCTCGCGCCGTGCTCGACTCTGCCGTCCGCCGGCCCTGTGGCTGCCCGGCCGGCCTGCTGCGCGTGCGCCGGGTCCGCGGCAGAAGAGCGCGGAGCCCGTGGCTCGCCCTCGCTCGGACGTCCTCCTTACCTAGGGGGCAAACAAACCTACCTCGCTTTTGACCACCCTCGCTTCCAAGAGATACCAAGCGATGCCTTTCTACGGCATGTACTGGTCAGGCCGCTTGACGAGGAGGCGTATGGTACAGCTTGGTTTTGCCTGGAAGCGAAAGCGGGGTAGGTAATTCACGCTCTGATTACCCCGTGCGTGTCTCGGTCTCGTGCGTGATTCTCTGTCTCGCAGAGGTCCTCCCAGGTGCTCCTCGACGGCCCTCGCCGAGGAACAAGTGCACACGTCCGAGCGATGCCCAGGTGGGCACCAGGCCGGCTACCGTCCTCTGGCTCCTCTGCGTGCCCCGTGCACGCCGCGGAGGGCCCGCACCCACAAGCAGCCCGCGCAGGAGCTCCACGCCTGGGGTCCAGGAGGAGTGCCGTCACCGTCACGGCGTGGCCTCTTGGCCTGGGGTGGGCCGTTGGTGCTCTCATGGGTTCCTAGATGCTCACGTTCTTCTGCGGAGGCCTGATGACGAGGACGATGGATGGGCCAGCGAGGATGATGAGGCGGAGAAGAATTGCTTCCTTTGGCTCTTCCTTCTCCGGAGCACCGTATACCCCCTCAGACTTCAGACCATCCGCTGAAAAGCCTCCTCCTCCTCCGCCTCCTCCTCCTGCCCACCTCACCCTCTCTTTCCGCTTCCCCAGCTTCTGGAGACATCATGAGAATCGTATCCAAGACATGTCAAAATCGTATGAGGACCTTCCAAAACTTCAAAAGACAACGCTCCATCTTTCCCTCACTCATCCTCATGCTTCCTCCTCCTGCTCATCACTTTTGATGGGGGACGTTAGGGGTAGGACCAGTTCAGGGCGGGAGCATCGACCTGGACTCGGTGATACATCGCCGATTGATTCCCGATCTGCCCCCGACAGCGAATCCGTACGCTCCTGGGGTGGGTGGGCTATCAGGCCCACATCAGCAGTATATGAGCGATTGGAGGTCGATCCACCCTTGAGTGATGCCTATCCCCCTCTACATTGCCCCTGATCGCTGTCTTTCCCCCTCTTTGGGGAGGGATCGAATCGACTCGGCAGGAGGAAGCGCCAAGCTCCACAGCGCCGTCGGGGGTCCCAAGGATGTAATCAAGAGCTTAAAACGAGGTTCGACAATACTGTTATCCCGCCCCGTCTGGCGGACGAACATAAAACCGCCCAGGTGAGCAGGGCAGGGGGGAAGGGGGGATGAGAAGGAGGAGCGAGGGGGGAGGAGAATCGCGGTGGCGGCGACGACGCCGACGACAACGGCCAGCGATCCGCGAGAGCTCGCAGGCGGCGGGGGTGCGCCGGCCAGGTCGCTGCGCGCAGGGCCGATGAACACCTGAGCGGCGCGAGGGCCGCGTCCCGGGCCAGTGGTCGTGGCCGTCGTCGTCGACGTCGCCGCCGCCGCCCACGTCGTCGTTGGTGTCGACGTCGACGCCGACGTCGTCGGTTCCCTTCTTCCTCCATCTCCTCCTCCTCCTCCTCCTGCTGCTCCTCCTCCTCCTCCTCCTCCTCCTCCTGCTGATCCTCCTCCTCCTCCTGCTGCTCCTCCTCCTCCTCCTCCTCCACCTCCTCTTCCCCCTCCTACTGCTCCTCCTCCTCCTCCTCCTGCTCCTCCTCCTCCTCCACCTCCTCCTCCTCCTCCTCCTCCTCCTCCTCCTCCCCCTCCGCCCCCACCTCCACCTCCCCCCTCCTCTCCCTCTCCTGCCCCCCCTCCTCCCACCCTCCTCCTCCTCTTCCTCCTCGGGGCGTCGGCGTCGTGGGGGCGGGCGGGTGCCTCGCCGAAGGGTCGGATCGCACCGACTCGGCGAGGAGTCGGAGGCGGGTGGAGGGGCTGGGGGAGGGGGGCACGGCTGGGTTGGGTTGGGGCGCGAGGGGACAGCGTGTGAACTGCTCCTGGCTGCGGCGCTCCAACGGCAATACGAGCCCGGCGCGGCCCCAGAGAAAGCCTCCAGGACCAGGGAACGAAGACCGAGGAACCGAGGAGCCAAGACCATGGAACCATTGGAACAAGACCAGGAAACCAGGAGCAAAGACCAAGGAACCAAGGACCCAAGAAATAGGAGCCATGGCAACAAGACCACGGCCCCCAAATCAAGAATCCAAGGAACCCGGACCAGGGAAGCAAGACACAACGACGAAGGAACCAAAAGCAAGGACACAAAGAGCCAAGACCAAGGGACCAAGGAACCGAGACCAATGAACCAAGGAACCACTACCAAGGAACCACAGACCAAGCAACCTAAACCCAGGAACCAAGGAACCAAGGCCAACAAAAACAATACCAAATAATCACGACACCGACACCAACGAACCCAGGAACCAGGACCAAACGGGGACAACGCCTTGTAAGACAGCCAAAGAAAGCTGGGGAAGGGGCTTGTAAGGATTGGGCGTTGTTGCTCAATGTGGAAACAATAAAAGGGGGGCGAAGACACTCCTGAACCTTTCCTGCCCCTTATGGGCCCCACGGGTCCCCTTTAGGGTCCCTCAAGGTGCACAAACAGATGCACCTTTCTCTGACTCCCGAACTGTCGCCCCCCATTGCACAACGCCCGAAAGAAAGCAACATCCATGAACCCCTGGGAAGGCCAGCGCCAACTGGGGGCAGCACCCAGCAGCTCTCCAAGAGGGAAGAATCCCTAGGGAAACCACTCCCCAACAGAGGCTGGGGAGGAGGGGGCCGGGTGGGCGCCCCAGCCTGTCGCTTGGTTGGCCCTTTGACCGAATGAAGCTGGCCCGAGCCACACGTCCTCTCTCTCTCTCTCTCCAATGTTCTTCCTCCCCGGAGTGCAATTGCGACCGAGGCGCCTCAAGACCCAGCCTCCCCGACGCGTTTTTTTTGTTGTTTCTTTTTTTTTACGACGTGGACCCTGAAAGGCGTGGACCCCTTCCGCGGGACTGGCCTTTCACCCCGGGTAGCTTCTTCACGGCCCGGGGGCCCGGGCGAAGGCCCCCCGACACCGGAAGCTGCGACAAGTCGTCCGCCGTGCTTCGTGTGCTGTCGAGCACCTTTTCCTTCTCCCTGTGCGCGCTGTCTTCCACAGGCGAGCACGTGCGTTCCGAGCCGCTGCAGCCCAGAACGTCGGGGGGATGCAGAGGCTGGCCGAGCGATCGCCGCGCGGTCGCCGCTCCTGTGGCGGAGGCCTCCTTCACCGCTGCTGCCGCCGCCTTCCTACTGCTCCTGCCGCCGCCTTCTGTTGCTGGAAGAAGAAGAAGGAGAAGAAGGAGAGACACAATAACAGTAGTAATACGAAGCAAAAACATATGAAGAATGCTAATGTCATGCACGTACACAGTTTGAGCTCCGCGCGCCGATACCCGAGTCCCCCGAACCCAAGCCTCACGTCTCCACGAAACATCACCCTGTTTCGCAACGAAAAGAACGGCACAAGCATGATGTCTTGAAGGCCCGCGCGGGTTTCTCGGACCTGCGCTGGACCCCCCTGGCGGCGCCGCTGCTGGCGCCGCACCTGGCGCGCTCCGCGCGCAAGAGAGGGGGACCACGCGCAGACTCAAAACACAGCGCGGAACTCCAACGACCTGTGTGCGCGCCCCTTGCTCTTCTTCGAGCTGCTGCTCCTGCCCCGCCCCACTTGAATCCAGGCGTCGCGCAGCAGTCCCGGCGGGCGTCTCCGCCTGGTCCAGTGCCCGGCAAACCTCGCGGAGCGCTGTGGCCCCCTGCAGAGGTGCGGGGCCGGGAGCTCTGTGCCCCTGGGCATGATCTTTCACGACGCTGTGCGCCGAGGCTGGCCCTGCCCCCCTCCTCCACCTTCCTCCGCCAGCCCCCCCGGGCCGCGTCGACGCGCACCGATCATCATCCCGATCGCGCACCGATCATCGTCCCGTCGACGCGGCAGACGCAGGAGGACCAGTCGAGGCGGCGACCCCCGCCGCTGCCAAGCGCTCGGCGGGCCCCAGCTGCTGGGATGCCGGGTCCTGGACACCCCTGCCAGGGTCCACGAAGTCGGCAAAGAACACTGACGCCTGCCTTGACAACATCGGCGATAGAGGATCGAGAGGATCGGTGATCGAGGATGAGGAGGGGGAAGAAGAAGAGGAGGAAGGGGAAGGTCGAGGAGGAGGATCGAGGAGGAGGCCGCCCTAACCCTCCGACACCGATGTCTCTTCCACGACGCGGGCCTGGGCCTCCAGGCTGCAGGACCGGTTCCGTGATGATGCCGAACTCGACAAGAAAGCATCCGACGCCGACACGATCTGCTTTGCGACTCCTGGAAGCCCCTGCCCCCCGGATGCCTCCAGGGAGGCTTGTGGAGGTCAGCCGCGGTGAACGTCGAGGGGTGGGGAAGGAGGGATGGGGTGGAGGGAGGGGGGAGGAGGAAGAAGGGGAGGGGGAGAAGGAGGAGGGGGAGCAGGGAAGGGGGAGGAAGAAGAGGAGGGGAAGGATAAGCAGGAGGAGGAGGAGCAGGAGGAGCAGGAGGAGAGGGCCTCCAGGGAAAAGCATCGAGGGCCGCGGTTCTCAAGCAGCGCCGCCGTCCTCCGCGCGGCGGGCGGCGGCCGAGGCGCGCGGGGCGCGCGCGATGGCGCGCGCGGGGCGCCTCGTGGTCGGAGACGATGTGCTCCTGGAGGTCCATGCGTCCCTCGCAGGGGACGGCACACGCGCACGCGACCAAGCCGCCGCGTGGGAGCAGCACCCAGCGTTGAGTCGGGCGTGTCCCCCTACAGGGGGATTTCCGACGAACAAGTGTATGGACAAGTATTCCAGAATGACAGAAAGAATCAATACATAGCCCCCAGACGATTGTTCCCCGTATTCTAAGATGGGGTTGTTGTTATTACTTGGACGCCTCCTGCTCCCTCTTCTTCTCCTCCCCTCCTCTCGGACTTACTCATACTCAGACTTACTCATGCCCAGATAGATTCATACTCAGACTTACGCATACTCAGACTTACTCATACTCAGACCTACGCATACTCAGACCTACTCATACTCAGACTTACTCATGTTGAGACTCACTCATGCCCAGACTTACTCATCCTCAGTCTCGTTCCCATACGTACTTACTCATACCCAGGCCTACTCATACTCAGGCTTACTCATGCTGAGTCTCACTCATACCCAGACATACTCATACTCAGACTCGTTCCAAGACGCACTCATACACAGGCTTACTCATACTCAGACCTACGCGTAATCAGACCTTCTCATAGTCAGACTTACTCATACGCAGACTTATTCAACACACAGAAGATTCGGAGTATGTCTCAGGCGTGGCGCTGGCTTCAGCACCCCAAAGGGGAGCCGCCAGGGGTGTTTTCACGGGCCCGTCCGCGGCCAGTTGGTGGGGACGTCTCAAGCGGTTTGGCTGTTTTGGTGGGCAGACTCGTCTGCGTTTAGAGCAGTTTGTGAAGATGTCTCAGGCGGGGCGCTGGTTTCAGCACCCCTAAGGGGAGCCGCCAGGAATGTTTTCACGGGCCCGTTCGCGGTCAGTTTGTGGGGATGTCTCAAGCGGTTTGGCTGTTTTGGTGGGCGGACTCGTTTGCGTTTAGAGCAGTTTGCAAGGATGTCTCAAGCGGGGTGCTGGTTTCAGCACCGAAGCGCTGTACTGGATGGGTGAAAATGCCACATTCGGGGTGTGGGACGCATGCGGGCGGTCCCAGTGGGGCCGTCGGTGAAGCTCCCTATGGGGCCACGAAGCGCTGTACCGTGTGGGTGAATATGCCACATTCGGTGTGTGGGACGCATGCAAGCGGTCCTACTGGAACGTTCGGTGGGGCTCCCTATGGGGCCACGAAGCGCTGTACTCGGTGGGTGGCGAAATTGCAAAATTAGGCGCATGGGACGCATGCGGGCGGTCCCACTGGGGCCGTCGGTGGAGCTCCCTATGGGGCCACGAAGCGCTGTAATGGGTGGGTGAAAATGCTACATTCGGTGTGTGCGTGTGTGTGTGTGTGTGTGTGTGGGACGCATGCGAGCGGTCTCCCACTGGGGCCGCCGGTGGAGCTCCCTATGGGGCCACGAAGCGCTGTACTAGGTGGGTGTGGATGCCAAAAGTAAGTGTGAGTGTGTGTGTGTGAATGTGTGTGTATATATATATATATATATATATGTGTGTGTGTGTGTGTGTGTGTGTGTGTGTGTGTGTGTGTGTGTGTGTGTGGGACGCATGCGGGCGGTCCCACTGGGGGCTTCTCTGGAGCTCCCTTTGGGGCCACGAAGCGCTGTACTCGGTGGGTGAAAATGCCACATTCGGTGTCTGTGTGTGTGTGGGACGTATGCGAGCGGTCCCACTGCGGGCTTCGGTGGAGCTCCCTATGGGGCCACGAAGCGCTGAAATGGGTGGGGGGGAACGCACGCGGGCGGTCCCACTGGGGCCGCCGGTGGAGCTCCCTATGGGGCCACGAAAAAACGCTGTACTAGGTGGGTGTGGATGCCAAAAGTGTGTGTGTGTGTTGTGTGTGTGTGCGTTGTGTGTTGTGTGTTGTGTGTTGTGTGTTGTGTGGGTTATGTGTGTGTGTGGGGGGGGGGGGGGGGACGCACGCGGGCGGTCCCACTGGGGCCGTCGGTGAAACTCCCTATGGGGCCACCAAGCGCTGTACCGGGTCGGTGAAAATGCCAATTCGGTGTGTGGGACGCACGCAGGCGGTCCCACTGGAACCTTCGGTGGGGCTCCCTATGGGGCCACGAAGCGCTGTACTGGGTGGGTGGCGAAAATGCAGAATTGGGCGCGTGGGACGCATGCGGGCGGCCCCACTGGGGCCGTCGGTGGGGCTCCCTATGGGACCACGAAGCGTTGTAATGGGTGGGTGAAAATGCCACAATACGTTTGTGGGACGCATGCAGGGGGTCCCACTGCGGGCTTCGGTGGAGCTCCCTATGGGGCCACGAAGCGCTGAACTGGGTGGAGGAAAACGGCAAAAAGGATGTGCCGAAATGTGAAGTGGAACCGCCTGCGGCCAAAACGCGAACGCAGCCACTGGAGCCTTCGGTGGAGCTCCCTATGGGGCCACGAAGCGCTGTACTGGGTGAGTGAACGTGCTAAAATGAGTGTGCGGGACGCATGCAAGCGGTCCAACTGGGGGCGTCGGTGGAGCTCTCTATGGGGCCACGAAGCGTTGTACTCGGTGGGTGAAAATGCCACATTCGGTGTGTGGGACGCACGCAGGCGGTCCCACTGGAACCTTTGGCAGGGCTCCCTGTGGGGCCCACGAAGCGCTGTAATGGGTGGGCGGAAATGCCAAATTAGCTTTTCGGGACGCGCGCGGACGGTCCCATTGGGGGCTTCGGTGGAGCTCCCTCTGGGGCCACGAAACGCTGTACTGGGAAAACCAAAATGCCCACTAGGTGTGTGGGACGCATGCTGGAGCCTTCGGTGGAGCTCCCTATGGGGCCACGAAGCGCTGTACTGGGTGGGTGGAAATGCCAAATTGGATGTGCCGAAGAGGGGGGTGGAACCGTCTGCAGCCAAAACGCGAACGCAACCATTGGGACCTTCGGTGGAGTTCCCTATGGGGCCACGAAGCGCTATAGTGGGTGGGTGGAAATGCTAAATTGGATTTGCCGAAATGGGAGGTTGAACCGCCTGCAGCCAAAACGCGAACGCAGCCACTGGGGCCTTCGGTGGAGCTCCCTATGCGGCCACGAAGCGTCTGAGGTGTGTGCCGGAATGGGTTGTGATGATGATGATGATGCTGATGATGAGAATGCTGATGATGATGATGATGATGATGATGATGATGATGATGATGATGATGGTGATGATGATGATGATGATGATGATGATGATGCTGCTGCTGCAGCAGCAGCTGCTGCTGAGAGGAGGATGGAGTTGGCAGCGGGAGGAGGGAGTAGACGCGGGGCGCTGTCTCTTCAAAACGAAGACTCAATACCACAGAATCGTTGGGGAAATTATCCGGGCGAAGGACCCAACCATATGAAATTGTGGGTACCGCAAGTGTGAATATCTTTTCCTGTGAAGCTCCCTGTGGGGCCACGACGCGCTGCGCTGAGAGGGGGGGGAACGCATGCGGGCGGTAGCACTGTGGCCGTCGGTGAAGCTCCCTGTGAGGCCACGAAACGCTGCACCGGGTGTGTGAAAATACCAAATTAAGCGTGTGGGACGCATGTGGGCGGTCCCATTGGGGGTTTCGGTATAGCTCCCCATGGGGCCGCGAATCGTTGTAAAGGGTGCGTGTACATGCCAAGGTGGGCATGGTGGGCGCATGCGGGCGGCCCCATTCGGGGCTTCGGTGGGGCTCCCTATGGGGCCACGAAGCGCTGTACTGGGTCGGTCAGAATGCCAAGTTGGGTGTGGGGTACGCATGGGGGCGGTCCCACTTGAGGCTTCTGTGGAGCTCCCTGTGGGGGACGCATGCGGGCGGTCCCACTGGGGGCTTCGGTGGAGCTCCCTATGGGGCCACGAAATGCTGTATTGGGTGGGTGACAATGCAAAACTTGGCGTGGGGTACGCATGCGGGCGGTCCCACTGGGGGCTTCGGTGGAGCTCCCTATGAGGCCACGAAACGCTGTACTGGGTGGGTGACATGCCAAATCGGGTGCGGGGGACGCATGCGGACAGTCCCCCTGGGGGCCTCTATGGAGCTCCCTATAGGACCACGAAGCGCTGTACTGTGTGGGTGGCACTGCCAAGTTGGGTGTGGGGGACGCATGCGGGGGTCCCACCGGGGGCTTCGGCGGAGCTCCCTATGGGGCCACGAAGCGCTGTACTGGGTGGGTGAACATGCCAAATTGGATGTGGGGGACGCATGTGGGCGGTCCCACTGGGGGCTTCGGTGGAGCTCCCCATGGGGTCACGAAATGCTGTATTGGGTGGGTGACAATGCAAAATTTGGCGTGGGGTACGCATGCGGGCGGTCCCACTGGGGGCTTCCGTGGAGTTCCCGATGGGGCCACGAAGCGCTGTGCTGGGCGGCTGAAAATGCCAAATTGGGCATGGTGGACGCATGCGGGCGGTCCCAGTAGGGGTTTCGGTGGAGTTCCCTATGGGGCAACGAATCGCTGTGCTGTGTGGGTGACAATGCCAAGTTGGGCCTGGGGGACGCATGCGGGCGGCCCCACTGGGGGCTTCGGTGGGGCTCCGTATTGGGCCACGAAACGCTGTAGTGGGTAGGTGAAAATGCCAAATTGGTGTGGGGGACGCGCGCGGGCGGTCCCAGTGGGGGCTTCGGTGGAGCTCACTATGGGGCCACGAAGCGCTGTGCTGGGTGGGTGAAACGCATGGAAGAAGGAGGAGGGAGGCGAGGAGGAGGCGGAAGAGGAGGAGGAGGAGAAGGAGGAGGAGGAGGAGAGGAACGCGGGGCGACGTCTCTTCAAAACGAGGACCCAACACCACAGGATGGTTGGGACAAATCAGCGTTGCTGCATCTCTGCGCATCCAAGACCGGCGCCACCCGTGAGCCCCGCGGCGACGGGCCCCCACGACACTGAGGGCCCCCTGCACGGGTTACAAGAAAACGGTACATGGAACATTCAGTGAACCTGGGATTGAGCTGGACTCAATGGGAGTAAGCTGGTCGAAACGCGATTGAGCCGGATTCAGCGCGATTGAACCTACATGGGCTAGTTTTCGACTAGAATGCACCAGCGCCCATTCTAAATTTAACCTCGCAGAAAATACAT